TTCTATGTTCAATCAATGAGGCAAATTATAGTTAGGAGAGGCAGTGACTAGGCTTCCTCAGTTTTATTTTGATTAAGTTTCCACTCATTGTTTAAATTGAAGCTAATCCCAAATCTTTAGAGTGTTCATTTATTACCATTTTTATGATTTCACATTTAAATCTAAATCAGAGACCAGCGCGAAACGACTAATGAGTATTTATTTTGTGAGAAGCGTATCAAATTGCCAACTGAAAGGCAAATTTAATAACAAAAATTGAGAGGGAAAAATTATATTTAGAACTACGAAAATATGAAATTGCGCTTGCAACTGCTTTTATAAAAATGTGTATTTAGAGCAAGTAGACGTTCATGCTTTCAACACACACAATTCGCTCATAGACGTGCTGCCCTGATATTTCGCTGTTATATGTAAAGCGTATCAATTTGATAAGCGATTTTCTCATGTTTGTAGCATTAATGGGTCGGGAAGAATTTATTTTGAGCCATGAAAAATTCCTAGTGCCCGGAAAAAATATTTTACAAGCAAATGAAAAAAGGTGTAAAAATAAGGTCTATTTGCTAGTGGTAACTCAATTTCGAATTCTATGTTCATTCAATGAGGCAAATTATAGTTAGGAGAGGCAGTGACTAGGCTGCCCCTGTTTTATTTTGATTAAGTTTCCACTTCTTGTTTCATTTGAAGCTAATCCCTAATCTTTAGAGTGTTCATTTATTACCATTTTTATGATTTCACATTTAAACCTAAATCAGAGACCAGCGCGAAACGACTAATGAGTATTTATTTTGTGAGAAGCGTATCAAATTGCCAACTGAAAGGCAAATTTAATAACAAAAATTGAGAGGGAAAAATTATATTTAGAACTACGAAAATATGAAATTGCGCTTGCAACTGCTTTTATAAAAATGTGAATTTAGAGCAAGTAGACGTTCATGCTTTCAACACACACAATTCGCTCATAGACGTGCTGCCCTGATATTTCACTGTTATATGAACAGCGTATCAATTTGATAAGCGATTTTCTCATGTTTGTAGCATTAATGGGTCGGGAAGAATTTATTTTGAGCCATGAAAAATTCCTAGTGCCCGGGCAAAATATTTTACAAGCAAATAAAAAAAGTTGTAAAAATAAGGTCTATTTGCTAGTGGTAACTCAATTGCGAATTCTATGTTCATTCAATGAGGCAAATTATAGTTAGGAGAGGCAGTGACTAGGCTGCCCCTGTTTTATTTTGATTAAGTTTCCACTTCTTGTTTAATTTGAAGCTAATCCCTAATCTTTAGAGTGTTCATTTATTACCATTTTTATGATTTCACATTTAAACCTAAATCAGAGACCAGCGCGAAACGACTAATGAGTATTTATTTTGTGAGAAGCGTATCAAATTGCCAACTGAAAGGCAAATTTAATAACAAAAATTGAGAGGGAAAAATTATATTTAGAACTACGAAAATAAGAAATTGCGCTTGCAACTGCTTTTATAAAAATGTGTATTTAGAGCAAGTAGACGTTCATGCTTTCAACACACACAATTCGCTCATAGACGTGCTGCCCTGATATTTCACTGTTATATGAACAGCGTATCAATTTGATAAGCGATTTTCTCATGTTTGTAGCATTAATGGGTCGGGAAGAATTTATTTTGAGCCATGAAAAATTCCTAGTGCCCGGGCAAAATATTTTACAAGCAAATAAAAAAAGTTGTAAAAATAAGGTCTATTTGCTAGTGGTAACTCAATTGCGAATTCTATGTTCATTCAATGAGGCAAATTATAGTTAGGAGAGGCAGTGACTAGGCTGCCCCTGTTTTATTTTGATTAAGTTTCCACTTCTTGTTTCATTTGAAGCTAATCCCTAATCTTTAGAGTGTTCATTTATTACCATTTTTATGATTTCACATTTAAACCTAAATCAGAGACCAGCGCGAAACGACTAATGAGTATTTATTTTGTGAGAAGCGTATCAAATTGCCAACTGAAAAGCAAATTTAATAACAAAAATTGAGAGGGAAAAATTATATTTAGAACTACGAAAATATGAAATTGCGCTTGCAACTGCTTTTATAAAAATGTGTATTTAGAGCAAGTAGACGTTCATGCTTTCAACACACACAATTCGCTCATAGACGTGCTGCCCTGATATTTCACTGTTATATGTAAAGCGTATCAATTTGACAAGCGATTTTCTCATGTTTGTAGCATTAATGGGTCGGGAAGAATTTATTTTGAGCCATGAAAAATTCCTAGTGCCCGGGCAAAATATTTTACAAGCAAATGTACAAAAGTTGTAAAATAGAGGAAGAGATGGCGAGTCAGCAGACTGACCTATTGTCCTTCTCACCTGTGGAGGATGAGCCCTCTTTAAACCATTAAGTCCTGAGCCTATGACTGAAACTAGAGATAAGCCTCGGAGAGGTTTTGCAAAATATGATTTTAGTTTTTTGTTAATTAATTGTCATGGTTCGGCAGCGGCAGGGAAACTTGCCTTTTTTAAGGACTTTGTGCTAAATTTTAATTCAAGACCATTCTGTATTTTAACAACAGAGACTTGGCTGAATAATTATGAGTTAAAAAATTTGCAATTATTAGATTATAAATTAGCAGCTGGGTTTGGACGTGTTGAGCATATTATGGGAGGCGCGGCTGATTTAATAAATAAGAATTTAGATTGCGAAACAATTCCGGTTCTGTGTGAGGAGTTTTGCTTTGAGGCGGCTGCGGCAATCGTACAGGTTGGGTCGCAGAAAATTTGCTTCTTGGTAGTTTATAGGCCGACAAACCCAGAAAATAACAAGCGCTTTGATGATTTTTTTGCTCATTTGGAGAATGCGTTAGTCAAAATTCTCTCTGTTTTTAAAAAGAAAAAGGCGACTAAGATTTTTGTAGCCGGGGACTTTAATATAAATATGTTGCGACGAACGACAGAGGCAGCTCGTTTGGTTAAGACTTTTGAAAAATTTGAGGTTGGAGAGAGAGCTAACTTCACACAGGTAGTAGTGTTGCTCTCTCGAAGGTGTGCGAATTTTCCCTTGTTAGGGGTGTTTTCTGTGTGAGTGGCCCGAGTTTGGCCGTTGCGGCGAGTTTATCAGGGGTGCCGCTTGCTCTGGGAGTGGAGGTGGCCGCGGCCGCCGTGTGGCCGCAGTGATGGAGGCCGAAGAAGAGACTGGTCGTGTTGCTCGGCTGGAGGAGCGCGTGATCGAGTTGGAAAAACAGCTGGCGGAGGTGCTCGCGGTTCTGAAGCACCAGCGGACGGGCCGTCCTGCGCGAGTTTTCCGGCCTCAGAAGGCGGCCGTAGAACCGGCCCCTAGCTCCAAAAAGCTGAAGTGGACGGCGACCGACGAGCGGCCGAATTTGAAGGACTATTTTGATTTCCGCAAAAGGGGGCGTGTCTCCAGTCGAGGCAGGTGCCGACTAACATACCGGCAGGGCAGTTTGGTCGATGCGGAGGAGTCCTGGCTGCTGCACCTGGTGTCCGGTGACCTGAAGAGGGGCAAGGGGGTGGCCAAGGACCTGGCCGCCGAGTTTGGCCCTGTTCCAGCGGCAAAGCTGGCTTACGACATCGGAGAAGTGGTGCCGCAAATTCATCCTGTGCGGGGCGACCGGACTTTGCTGAACGCCGTCATCAAGGACAAGTTCTTCCACCGCTTCTCGTATGACCCTGAGCGTTACCTGAAAGGTTACCGGCTGGCCCTTGAGAGTGCTCGAGCGTTTTGTGACGAGTATGGCGTCCGCAAGCTGGCCATTTGTCGCCTTGGTGCCGGCCTCGAGAGGGTGCACTGGAAGTACACTGAGCAGCTGCTGCTGGACCTGTTTTCGGACATTGACATTGAGATCGTCGTGTACCTGAAGCCGGCCGCCGGTGCGGATGAGGAGACGCAGCCGAAGAAGTTGGGGGCATTCCCTCCAGTGAGCGAATGGCGGGTGTCAACTCGGCGCGGGCGGCGCCGGCGAGAGAGCCCTGTGGCGACCGCGAGCAGTCCTGTGAGCAGCCCTGGAGATGGCCCTGGCAGAACCGGCTCCCGTGTGGCAAAAGGGGGCGGCGTGCGCAGGACCAGTTTGGCTTTGGCAAGGGGGCCGGAGGCCGTTGAACTGCCTGCCGGACCAGGGACTTCGGTCTCGGGGCCGAGCGCGCCGCCTCAGCCACCCTCAGCTTTGACAGGTATGACTCCCTCTTTGTCTCTTGGCTGCCTACCTGTCAGTCTTCCTGATGAGCCTGTCGCTGCCTTTAATAAAGTTGGTCGTCGTCGCTCTGTTCCATTGACTCCGGAGCTGCTGAAGGACCTTGAAGGACGAATGGCTGGCTGGCGTTCAACTGTTCCTGCTGCAGCTGGCCTCTGTCGACCAGGCGCGTGCGAAGGGGAGACTCAGGCCCGGAGGCCGGGGGTCGATGACCCTGGCGCACGAAGCATTCTCGAGACTAAGGTTAATGACAGATGCTGGGCGCCTGGCCGGCGGCAAACGCCTTTAGCAGGTAAAATCCATTCCTTGCCTGTTTTGGACTTTTCGATTCCGGAAGAGGCTCCTGAGCAGAATGATGTGCCTGAGAGAATTTTCTCCCCTGTTCCAAGGTCGATGGATGATGCTGCAGTGGATGTTGGCGTGACAGAGGAGGAGCAGAGTTTCGTCTCTTCGAGTGATGGTTTGGACTTGCTGACCTTTTCGCCGCCTGCGAGTGATGTCGAGTTAAGTTTAAACTAGAAAATCCTTTGCCTTTGAAAGCATTTGAAAGGGTACCTGGGGGGAATTGTAATGATCATTGTAAGAGAAAAAAAGATAATTTTGCATTTCTCTTACAAAATGTGCAAGGGCTTTGCACTCCCCAGAAAATTACAGCCTTAAAGGATTTTCTAGTGCAACAAAAGAATTTTAAAAATATTGATTGTATAATTTTGACTGAAACTTGGTTGAGAAAAAACGAGTTAGGAAATTTGAATTTTTTAAATTACCGGTTGGCAGCTGGATTTGGGCGAGAAGAGCGGTTGCGTGGTGGGGTGGCCATCATGCTGGCGAATAATTTACGGTTTGAAAAAGTAGAAGTTCCTTCTTATGAGTTTAGGCTGGAAACCTCTGCCATTGTTTTGCAGTTAGGGGAACAAAAAATATTAATTGTGGCTCTCTATCGTCCTTCTAATCCGGAAAATAATGTTCAGTTTGATTTTTTTTTTGAGAAATTTGAAAATATTTTGGACAAACTAGTAGCGACAATGAGAAAGCGTCGTGTGCAGAGAATTATTCTGGCAGGTGATTTTAACATAAATATGTTGCGGGCACATGCGCCGGCCATTCGCCTGGGTAAATTAATGGAAAAATTTGAACTCTACCTTGTTAATGAGGAGAGTGCAACAAGAGTGGCTGCTGCTAGTTCCACTTTAATTGATTTGATTTATTATGGCCCAGGTGAAATGAACGATGCGTTTGCTAGTGTTGTTCAGAATTTTTTCTCTGACCATGAGAGCGTTATTTGCGAGGTTAATGTTGCAGTCCCAGTTATTTCGGACAAATTCATTGAGGTAAGAGATTTTAATGATGAAAGAATTAATTCGTTTGCTGCTTGCCTTGCCTTGCAAAATTGGCTGGCAGTAGCTTATGCGGCGACAGTTGATGAAAAGTACGATTGTTTTTTGTCTATTTTTCGTTCCCTGTTTGAACAGTTTTTCCCCAAGCGGAGGAAATTAATTCGAGCAAATCAGTTGACTAAAACTAAGTTGTCAGAGGAGGTTAAAAGACAACGTAGTTTGGTTTTTCGCTTGGGAAAAGAAGTAAAGAAAATTCCACCGTCGGACTTGAAGGATGAAAAGAACGCGGAGTTTAAAATTCAAAAGAAGGAATATCTGCGGAGATTAAATACCGAGATACGCGTGTCTAATAATCGCGTTATTAATAATGCGGAAAATAAAACAAAGGCAGCTTGGTCTTTGCTCAAAAAGAGTGCAGGGAAAGTTGTCGAGACTGAGCGGATTGAGCGGGTGGTAGTAAATGGAAAAGAAGTGTGTAACCCTTTGTCCATCGCGAGCGCGTTAAATGGTACTTTTGTTGTCCCGCCGCCGGTGGAGTTGGGAAATGCATTGCATAGCCCAATTTCGCTGCCCACCTGTAATTCAAGTTTGTTTTTGTGTCCGGCGGGGGTGCAGGAAATAATAAGTGTCCTGCGCAGTTTGCCGTCCAAGCGCTCGGCAGGTTGGGACGAGATTCCAATTTTCCTTGCGAAGAGAGTTGCGCCCTACATTGCTGCACCCTTGGCGGACATAGTAAATGCTTCTTTCCGTGACGGTGTTTTTCCGAAGTCAATGAAAAGAGCAATTGTAACTCCGTTGTTTAAAAAAGGTGACCGACTCGACGTAAAAAATTATCGACCCATTTCCAGTTTGCCAACATTTTCAAAAATTCTCGAAAAGTGCTTTTTGCTTCGTTTGTTTTCATTTTACGAGGTGAATAATTTACTGCCGGGCTCGCAGCACGGGTTCATTAAGGGCAGGTGCACTGCGACTGCCCTTTTTGAGTTTATTGTAAAATTGCACGAGCATCTTGAAAAAAAGCAAAAAGTACTTGGAATCTTTTACGACCTTTCAAACGCGTTTGGCACAATTTGCGTGCCGCTGCTGCTTCGGAAATTTGAGTTTCAAGGCGTCCGAGGTGTTGCGTTGGAGTGGCTGCGTTCGGCCTTGACCGGCCGGACGCAGGCGGTCAAATTGCGTGTCATGGACGGCAAGTTTGAGAAATTTGTGTACTCTGAGGAGCTTTTACTTGAGAGAGGGACTCCTCAGGGTGGTATTATTTCTCCGTTTGGCTTTGACGTCTCGATCGGTGACATGCCAGTCCACGTAGCGGTCGGGTTGCTCTTAAATTACGCGGATGATTCGTCGTCCCTTGTGTTTTCCAGGACGACTTGCGGCTTAATGAAAGAAGCGCAGTTGGCAGTGAATTTAATGTCAGATTTTTGCCGTGACAATTTTTTGACGCTAAATCAGACAAAGACAGTGGTGCTTAATTTTCAACTTAGGCGCCCTGTGCTAGACCGCGATAATTTTAATTTGACTTTGAATGGCGAAAATTTGACAGAATCGGATGTGACAAAATTTCTGGGCTTGTATCTCGCGCATAATTTAAAGTGGACTGAGCATTCAGATTATGTAGTTGGAAAATTAAATAGTGCTGTATTTTTAATTAACAACTTGATGCATTCCGTTGATGAGAAATACTTGAAAATGGTTTATTATGCTTACTGTCATTCGATCATGAGTTACGGCATTGTAATTTGGGGAGGGTCGAATCGAGCGTTGGATGAGGTTTTTCTGGCGCAGAAAAAAGTGGTGAGAGCTCTTGCGGGTGAGCGCTATTGGCGCAGTACAGAGCCGCTTTGTTCTGCGAAGCCACTTTTCGCTCGATTCGGCTTCCTTCCAATATTTTCAATTTACCTTTTTGAATCTTGCAAGTTTGTTCGTAAATATCCGCATTATTTAAAAAAAACAAGTGAAGTTCATGATCACCAGACAAGGGCTAAGTGCGATTTGTATGTTCCGGCCCAGGCTTTGTTAATTTCCAACCAAAACCCTTTGACTTGCATGTCTTCTTTGTATAACAAGTTGCCTGTTTCGGTTCGTTTGGAGCCTCGGTATAAGGGTTTTGAAACCAGTTTAAGGCGTTTTGTTCATGTGCATAAATTTTATGATAGGAAAGAGTTCTTTCAATTTATGAATGCATTGTGATATTGTTTTTTTCTCTCTTATCATGTACTATGTTGCAAATGGGGCGCGTCGCATTGAGTAATTCCATCGTGGCGACGTCTCATAAGTCAATAAAGAATAATAATAATAATAATCTCTCGAATGAAAATATGGTGACAAGAATTTCGGGTGCGAGCGCGACGTCGATTGATTTAATTTTTTCCGGTCCAGGTGAATTGGATGATTTCGAATGTGCAGCTAAGTCTAACATTTTCTCCGATCATGGGGGCGTAGTTTTTTCAATGAAGCTGAATATTCCGCAGGAGCGAGATAAATATATTGAATCTCGCAATTTTCCGGATGATAAAATTGCAGAATTTATAGCCTACTTGGATTTGCAAAGCTGGCGTGCTGTTGCGCTCTCGAGCACGGTTGACGATAAATATGACGCATTTCTGACTACTTTCTTGGAAGGTTTTAACAAATTTTTCCCAAAAAAACCAAAACTTGTGAGAGCTAATAGAAAAAATAAAGTTGTATTGTCTCCTTCGCTGGTCAAAAAACGTCGCGAGTTGATAGAAAAGAGTGTTGTTGTGAAGCGATTGCCTGCGCGGCATCCGCAGAAATTGCAGTTTAAAAGAGACCGGTACGCATATAAGCAGCAGCTGCAGGCGGAAATTAGAGCATCTAACAATGCATTTATTGCCAATGCGCAGAATAAAACTGTTGCGGCTTGGTCTATTTTGAACCGTACTTTAGGCAATGATAAGTCGCGTGATAAAATTAAAGAGATGCGAGTAGATGGGGAAATAACTTCTGATGTGGGGAAAATAGCCAGTGCGATGAATTCAACATTTATAGTGCCTGAGGCTGATTTGTGCGATTACGAGTTTCGTACGACGGCGGCTGAGAAAAATTTATTTTTAACCCCCGTTGGGGTGCAAGAGGTGATTTTAATATTGCGTGGACTCGCGGCAAAGAAATCAGCAGGTTTCGATGAGATTCCAATGTTTTTGGCTAAGCGAGTGGCAGCGAGTGTTGCTGCGCCGCTGGCTGATATTATAAATTGCTCTTTTTCCACTGGCTGTTTTCCTTTGCAAATGAAGCGAGCGGTTGTGACTCCAATTTATAAAAAAGGCGACCGGCTCGAAACGTCGAATTATCGTCCAATTGCAAATTTGCCTACTTTTTCAAAAGCTCTTGAAAATTGTTTCCTCCTGCGTATTGCTAATTTTTTGCGGAAAATGATTTAATTCCTGCTAGTCAACATGGTTTCGTTCGCGGGAAGTGTACGGCGTCGGCATTGTTTGAGTTTTTTGCTGAATTGCATGATGCTCTCGAGCGTCGGCAAAAGTCGGTTGGTCTTTTTTATGATCTTTCAAATGCGTTCGGAACTGTGTGCGTTCCCCTTGTATTGCGGAAATTTGAGCGTTGCGGTGTGCGCGGCGTTGCACTGGACTGGTTGCGATCTGCTCTTACCGGCAGGTCTCAGCGAGTTCGGTTGCGAGCGTTGGATGGGAATCATGAGCGAGACGTTTTTTCCGAGGAGTTGGATGTTGTGCGCGGCACTCCGCAGGGAGGAATTATTTCCCCTTTTACTTTCATTGGGTCGGTTTATGATATGTATTGCTTTTTGACAAATCGCAAGCTTGTAAATTTCGCGGATGATACGAGCGAGTTGGTAGAAGGTGGAACTATTCATGCTTTAATTGGTGCGGCGAGGTTGGCTGCATCTTGCATGGGAAAATTTTGTCTCGATAATTGCCTCCAATTAAATGCGAGTAAATCCGTAATTTTGCGTTTCCGGCACCCCAATGCGGCCTTGTTTTCTGATTCACCCCTTGTTTATGTTAATGAAAAATCTGTTAGCGTTGCCCAAATGACAAAATTTCTTGGGTTGTATGTCACGGAAAATTTAAAGTGGACGGAGCATGCAGATTATATTGTGGGCAAGTTGCATAGTGCTGTTTTCCTTGTAAATAATTTGTTGAAGTTGGTTAGCGAAAAGCACTTGCTCATGATTTATTATGCTTATGCGTACTCCATTATGCAGTATGGCATTGTAATTTGGGGTGGATCAGAGCAGGCACGAGATCTTGTTTTTATGGCACAAAAGCGCCTTGTTCGTGCGATGGCCGGCGAGCGGTATTGGCCTGGTCCGACGCCTGTTTGTTCGGCCCGGCCTCTTTTTAAAAAATTTGATGTTTTGCCACTATTTTCCATTTACTTGATTGAGGCTTGTAAATTTGTGCGTAAATACCCTCAGTATTTTGTTAAAACGCGAGATGTGCATGCCTATGAGACGCGCGAAAAGTTCGAGTTGTACGTGCCGGTCCAGACGTGTGCTATTTCGAGACAAAATCCGCTCATTTGCTTGTCGCGCTTGTATAATAATTTGCCTGTATCTATTCGATTGGAGTTGAGATTCCCTCAGTTTGTGGGCTTGTTAAAAAAGTTTGTTAGTTTTCACAAGTTCTATACTGAGGAGGAATATGTAAATTACAAAAATAACTTGTAAATATGTTAAATTTCTTTTTTCCCTGCTGTGTGTTTCATTTGACAAAATTGTAAATGGGTGGGTCGCACGGGAGACATTACATGTGATTACATTCCATAATGCAATAAAGAACAATAATAATAATAAGGTCTATTTGCTAGTGGTAACTCAATTGCGAATTCTATGTTCATTCAATGAGGCAAATTATAGTTGGGAGAGGCAGTGACTAGGCTGCCCCTGTTTTATTTTGATTAAGTTTCCACTTCTTGTTTCATTTGAAGCTAATCCCTAATCTTTAGAGTGTTCATTTATTACCATTTTTATGATTTCACATTTAAACCTAAATCAGAGACCAGCGCGAAACGACTAATGAGTATTTATTTTGTGAGAAGCGTATCAAATTGCCAACTGAAAGGCAAATTTAATAACAAAAATTGAGACGGAAAAAATATATTTAGAACCACGAAAATATGAAATTGCGCTTGCAACTGCTTTTATAAAAATGTGTATTTAGAGCAAGTAGACGTTCATGCTTTCAACACACACAATTCGCTCACAGACGTGCTGCCCTGGTATTTCACTGTTATATGAACAGCGTATCAATTTGATTAGCGATTTTCTCATGTTTGTAGCATTAATAGGTCGGGAAGAATTTATTTTGAGCCATGAAAAATTCCTAGTGCCCGGGCAAAATATTTTACAAGCAAATGTACAAAAGTTGTAAAAATAAGGACTATTTGCTAGTGGTAACTCAATTGCGAATTCTATGTTCATTCAATGAGGCAAATTATAGTTAGGAGAGGCAGTGACTAGGCTGCCCCTTTTATATTTTTATTAAGTTATAACAATAAGAGTGGAGCTACTCATACTCATATAGTGTACAAGTCTAATAAAAATTAAAGGCCTACTATCATTGAAAATTCATTGAACAATCAATTAGATAATAATTAATCAATTAAAAAAGAAAAAGTTTTATTATTTTGCCAAAAATGAGCCAAAAAATATGTTCTTATTGTTTTTTTTTTTTAATTAAATTTCGTAATTTTTTTAATTTATATACAGACAGCAGTACCAATTGAAACAACTACAGCTAACATCACTAAGAGCTCAACGATTGTAAGTTAAAAAAATATTTAATCATTATTTTAGTCAAGATTTTTTAAATATATGTTTTGAGGTAGTTCTTTTCCTTTTAAATTCAATTTTAAAAGGCGAGAGAGTAAAAGAAAAGTTTATTTAGTTTTTTATAAAAAATTAATTTAAGTTATAAATTCTCGATTTTGTTCCTTTAAAGGTTGTACCTCCACATTGCAATGGTGTTATGGACCGGATATGCTTGGGAAAGCCTTCATGTACTGTTAATGTGATATTTTTTCTTATATTATTATGATGTGATAAACAATATTTTGAATTAGAAAATGCTGTCATTTAGTCTACAAACCACTGGCAAGAGTAAGAAAGATTTCTGATCACAGTGCTATTTTATTTTAATTATATAATTACCATTAGCTACCAGCGGCAATATGATTTTAACTCCAAATGGAAAGAAATATTTTATGGGTGTCAGCACTAGAGTGAGATGATTTTTATTTAATTTAAACAAATTTCAATGTTTTCAGCAAATTCGAAAATTATTTGATTCAATGTAAATTTGGCACGTTTTTTAGGGTTTAAATTATAGTGATGCAGCATTTATTTGCTGTCAGCTGGGCTTGAAATTAGCCGAATTTAATACACCAGACGTTTGGAACAACTTTGTAGCCTATCTAAAAAGTAAATAAAAAATCTCAAAATTAAAATTTCAAGATTATCGTCAAAGACAAAAAAAATAATAAATAAGATAATCAATTATGAGTGATCCAAAAAAAAAAAAATTTAAAATATAAAATTTTGCTTGCCAACATTTACCAAACAATATTTTTTGAAAATTTATTTCAACCCGTGTCAATAATACATAATCTTGCTTAAATAATTACCCTGTAAAGATTTGCTAGAATGCATAGACAAACAGTAAAATTTTTCAATAATATATTATGTTTCCTCTTTTCCAGTTTTATAGAATAAAAATTTGATCATTTTAAATAGAAAATAAACTTCATCTATTTACTTACTAACGAAAAATTTCTTTACCTTAAACAGTCAAATAAAAAATAAAATAAATAATAATAAATAATTAAACCGTCCAATATTTCAAAATATATTTGAAATAAACATTATTATCTTTTAATTGTTTCATTTTCCTGACTTTTCCAAGCTGTAAATTACAGTAGTTGGGACTTTTTTGGATCAACTATGGACAACGGGAATCACACCGACACCTGGTGCAACTCGCAAACCTTGGTGCCAAGCGGAATCATCAGCGACGCCTTGTACAATGTTACTTGTGGCACCAAAAACCTGTTGGTGAACACGCCTGGCGGCCTCATCAGATGGATTCCCGCAAACTCCAATATCAATCGATATTACTGCGAATAAATTCACTAATTAGCGTGTCCGCGCCACAGGAATATCTGGAAAATTTTAATGAGGAAAAAATGTCTGAAAATTATTTTTGTTTCCTTAATGAATAAAAGTGAGTCCAAATGATGAGTGGACAAAAATAATCAGCAATTAATCACAACATTTATTTTTATTTTTCTGATTCAATTGAGGTAATTGAGGATAAAAAGAAATCTGATATTCCTTCAAAGGAAGAAAACTCAGCGACTTGTAATCACGTGCTGAATTATATATATGTGTTCAGCAGCAAGTACAAACTACAAAGTGTAATTAACTTCACTGTAAAGAGCGTAAGTGTTCACAATAAGATAATGCTTACATGGATAGCAGCGCGGGGTGAATAGTAAGAAGAGCCTTACACACGCGCCTCGCCCATAAAGCATGCACATGAATTAGTCTGCTTTTGGATCCCCGTAATGTATTTTTTCGGACTGAGCAGCCGTGTCTCGCACCTTCAACAAGCACGAAAAACTTCTCGACTTTTTTTGACTATCACGATTTATTTTTCCTCATTTGGTCTTTTCTTAGTTTTTGGGTAGGTGCATCATTATGTCACGTATCCGTCATTCGCCCTCTACAAAATATACACTGCGGAAGGCCAGGATCTAAAGGAACCGCTCACGGCCGCACACCAAAAATGAGATCATCGAGAGCAGACAAAAAACCAACGCAGCTGCATGCACCGAGACTGCACTCCCATGAACCCATCATACACCAAGATGATCTCACAGGACAGTCGTGAAGGGCGCCAAAGGACATAAAACAGTCACCTTAGCGCGAGCCGTGTATAAATAGCGCCGTAAAATAAAGAACGGGGCACTCTGGTCCCGAGACGTAACTGGACATCACGCTTGTCTCATTTCATCCCCGATTGTTACAATTATAATTTCGAGTTTTGCTTTTTTTTAGGCAAGTAAGTCATACTGGTATCATCAATTTTTGTTAGATCCCTCTGAAACTCCAAGGTCAGAAATTTCATTCATTTTTTAATTGCAGCTTCAATAATAATTGGGTTTACCGCGGTGGACGGGTCTCTTTGGATGTCTGGGTTTTATAAGACATAATGCTAGTTACCATTATTTTCAAAGTTTTTTGTATTGATCGAGAGGAATAAATAAAAATAGTTCAAGAGTAATTGAAAAAATAAGTATAAAATTTCATGTTGGTTTTCAACATTGTTCCTATAAAACACTAAATTATATGCATTTAAATAGTTATTATTAATAACTATAATGACTTTGATTGAAAAAAGGTGATCAAAAATTAGAGGGGAAAGCAAAGTTGAATGGTGATTTTTAGTGAAAATAGTGTTTGCGCGAAAAAAGTAATGGAATTTATTACTTCATTTTATAAACTTTGAACGCAAGGATTTTCTTATAAAAAATGATTTCATGTAACTTTTGAGCTGAATTTAATAAGCTTTTTAATTATATATTGGTCTGTTTGATTTGCTTTCTATAACCTTGTTGGAAAAGCTCGATTCTTTTGAATTTTAGTATAAAATAAACATGCATATTTCCAGTTTCCGCTTGTTATGCTTTTAAGCACGAAAGAGCCACGTAAAATGTTCGATGCTCTGACGATGTCAGTATACGGCATTGTTTCACGATGGATGCAGCAACTGGTCAGCTAATCTAAACAAAAATGCGTCTACTGATCGTCCAGTTCATTTGGTCACTGATCTACAATGTGCTAAGTGACGCCGTATCTTAAAGTCATTCAATAATTGAGATAAAGTTTCCTTGACACATTTTAAATTGCTTAGAGCCAGCAGATTGCGTTAGTTAATAATGGGAAAAATCTGCCATTTATACTGAAACCGGCACCAGTCAAAGTTCTAGGTTTGATTTATGATAAGTGAGAGGTTTCGGTTAATTTTTTTAAACAGTTCAAAATAACAAGCGGAGGCAGCAGAAACGGAATTTTATGGAAAGGTGCTGCGCTAATGATAAGTGTCTAGTGGAAGCAAACAAAACATCCAAGGAAGGAACAGTCACATCTAATTTCATTCCCGTCAAATTAACTACAAGGGTAAAAATAAATTATATTAAAAGTAGTTACAATAATCGTGCACTTTCAAGAAGTTAATGTAATCAATACCGTAATATTATTATTTTTTTTTTAAATATACCCATTTATCATCTTTTTAAAATCATATAATAATATTTTATTTTTAAATAACTCTTTAAAAGCTAATATTAAATTTCATATATTATATTGGCGCATATTTTCCTAACAATATTAAAATGCTAATTAAATGCGATGAATAAACACAAAACGTTTAAAGTATCATAATTAAGGTAAATGCGTGTTTCTTTGCTAAAAGTAGAGGAAGACAACTACTGTTAAACCTACGTCGCTGTTTGTCACTACCATTGAAACAATTGGATTTGAAGACGAAACATTAGGGACCACGCCGGTACCTGCCATTGTAGACGATGTTGGTTTTTTCACGCAAGATATGTCAGCTTTGGTTAGTAACTTAATGACACAATATTTTTTCCACATTTCAATCTCAAATTTGCATGGCTCATTTTAAGTTTGGAAAGACGCCTCCTCCAGATCCATGCGCTGAAATGCCAGCGAGAAAGTGTTTGGATTTTCCAGGAAGACTGGATGGATGCATGAGAATTGTGAGGGCAAAAATTATGTTATTTGCATGATTCTTTGGTTCATATTTTGCACGCAGGACGATTTAATCAAACAGCTTTATTCCATTGGAGAGAGTAAAATATACACAGTTTTCAAAATAATTAAATTTACACAATAAAAACCGAAAAGCTGCCTCTGGGAAATTGATCACAACCGCGGCTGGCAGAAAATATATGATTGGCTTCGAGTATTCGGTTTAAAAATTTAATTGCAAGAGGTTTGCACTTTGTTTATTAAAATTTGTTCAGCCACATGAGTATGCATTGGGCCACTATATCTGCTGCATGCACGGAATGGAGTTTGCCGAATTCCACACAAAGGAGATTTGGGACGATTTTGTCGGCACGATCAGAAGTATATAATATTATATCTGTGTTTTATTCGAGGTTGGAAATGAAATATTTTTTATAAAAGACGTCACATCACCAATGTGGTACTTCTTCGGTTCAACAATGGACAATGGGAACGGCACCGAAACTTGGTGCAATTCGCAGAAATTAGTAGCCGAGGGTATTTTCGACAAGAGCTTTTACGAAAACGTGACCTGTGGTCAGGACAACGCTTTTGTAGTGACGCCAGAAGGAACTCCGATGCTTGTTTCAAAGAAGAGCAACTCCATAAGATATGTTTGTATGTGAGAATCATAAAATTGCAATTTGAGAAGATCAGATATAAGTAAATAAAAAAATTTTTCGAGGCAATATGAGGCATGATTTAGTTTAAAAATTAGTCTTCGATTTGGTAAAAGCGTTGAAAGGCCAATATTTTGGTCTTTGATGAAAACATTTTAACGGCGAACGCGGGACCAAATTCAAAATGCGCTTTTTCAAGGTTTAAAGAAAGGTTATTTGGCAGCAACTATCTCAACTGATCCACTTACCTTCAACGGCCGAGGACTGCTGCCCACTCAAACCTAAAAACATTACAAAAATTACGACTACAGTAAATCGTCATGAAATTTAATATATGAAATGAACACATAGAACTGCACTACTATTTTTTTCACAGAGAATGAAGAATTCAAATATAGCTAAAACAATGAGGCATTACCTTAAAAATCATCATTATTTTCTTTACGTATTTTAACAGTATTGCTTTTGCAGGTAAAAAATTCCTCAGAATTGTTATAAATTATTTAATTTTTATGCTACTGAATTGCGCATAATAGTGACTGACGTGAGCAGAAAGTTTAAATTCTGAGTGATAATGAATAGTCAAATATGAAGTCTTATTTTTTATTTTTTTTTTATTTAAATGCTCCAAATAAATCTTAGTTTCTATTGAAGCGAAGTGCAATAAAATGGCAAAGCCGTGCATGGAATTGTTTATCAGATAATTCAGGATAATATACACTTCGTGCAGAAAGTTATTATCATCCGATATCATAATTTACGAAGAATTCTTTAAAAACATGTGCGACTGACGTCACGTGGAGCCCTGCAACTAAAATTTAACAAGGTTTCATCTCCTGTAAATATTCACATATCGGTCAACGGAATAAATGCATGGTACGGACCCAAATGGTACCCACTTCAGTATCTCTTTCCACATACAAAAATAAAATATTTGATCGCGATTTTTCCATTAAAACCAGGCAAGCAGAATATTTTATGTAAACATAAAAATTCATCCACTCAGGCGACGACCAAGATGACAACCAATGGAAAGTCCCAGAAAAAAATTCCCTTCATGACAGCTTCATGACATAGATAATACTACGGCAAAATGTTAAAAATTGGGCTGTGACACTCATTATCAATTAAGAGAGTTTTCTCGAATATTTACAATCATGTTATTTTTTATAGCAAAAATGTTTACAGTTTATATGTAATAAAGTTCCCAAAAATTTTTTTTTCGATTGCATGTAAACTTAGGTTAAAACATCAAAACTCAACAATTATGAGTGTTTCGATTATTAAGGAGTAAGCCTCAGATTTCCAAACTGCTTTGTAATTTCATTAAGGCGCTCCTGTATACTTTGCTGTATATTTTTCGAGAGCGACTGAGCACCTTGGGTGGACTCATCCCTCAATTTGTGCAGACTTTTGAGTCCGCTGACCAACTGGGAACTCAGGTCGGAGCTCGCGCCGTTGATGCGCTGAAAACTTTCCTGGCGCATCCGCTCAAAGCTGCTCTTTACGTTCGCCACACCGGCAGAAACTTCGCTGCCAATCTTCAGCAATTGTCCCGCACTCTCCATGCTGAGAGACGCGATTCCGTTCTGCGCCGAGTCGACGCCCGCCTTGATCGCGTTGCCCGCGTTCTTGAGACCGGCGCCGACTGCTGTGCCCAAACCGGCAGCCTCCTCGGCCACGTTCAACGCGACGTTGGACACGTTTTTCCTGATGGACTCGCCGACGTCCGAAAAGCCTTTCTGAATATTGGTGGCTACCTGCAGCAACTCCTTTCGCACCGAGTCCACCTCGAGTAAAAGCCGCGCGCTCAACCCTTCCGTCAGGCGCATGCCGCTGAAGGACGTCAACTCCTCCCGGATTCGCGCCAGCCGCGGCGCCACACGCATCACTTCCGGCTTTTCCCTCCCCAGCTGCTCAACGTCCTCCACAATAACGTCGAAGCCCTCGCGCACTTTGTCTGCAAGATCTTCGCGTGCTTGTGCAGACTCGAGTGTTTCAATGTTGCGGATTTGACGCTGGATCGTGACCAAGGAGGCACTTACGTCCGCCAGTTCTGGGCGCCTCGCGTCCTCCTCGTCCTGCTGACCTTCGGCTGCCGCTTCCTGCTCAGAATTGCCCAGGTCGATTCCAGATAAGCTGTTTATATTTATATTATTCCCTCCGTTTCGCGCAGTTTTTACTTCTGGTTTGACGCTGATCTCCGTGATCGGGAGTGGAGCTCTTGATGTGGTTTTGGCCGTGCTGCGTCGTGTTGAAATTTCCTGGGGTCTCTTTGATGAACTGCTCAGTGGTTTTTTGTCTTCTGATCCAAACGTCCCGTCAGAAAGGACACCAATCGATTCATCCTGAGCCATGGCAAAAGGGTCACATTTGTCGGCCAACATAAGTCGTTGAGTGCACGAGTTGGAATCTAAAATAATTATCGCAATTTTTTTTTTATGAATTTCCGGTTAATTGTGTGTTTATTTTAACCTGTTTTCGGCTTAGACTGGGCAGGACAATTTGCGAAAATGTACTTTCGGAAACACAAAGCAAACAATCCTGGCTGCAATTGACATCCGTTTTTCTCTCCGTTTTTCAACGATGCATCTGCAGAAGATATTAAATACTCATTTGCACTAATTTTTTGTTATCAGATTGAAGGGAAAGTAAAATATTTTATATCAAATTATTTTAATTTATAAGTTCACATTTATTTTAAATATCCTTTACCTATCTGAATTCGATTAGAGCAAACAGTGACTGCGCTAGTGACTAGTTGAAGCCACGAATTATCAGGAACCTCTCGTGAAAAGTTTTTCAAAATCACATCCGTGTTCAAATCCCCATTATTTTTCACCTACATAAGTGTAAATAAATTATAAAAAATATATAAATCAATAAAATTATCTTACAAAGTTTGTATTTTTAAAAAGGCAATCAAATAAACACTGAAAAATTTAAATAAATTTGAATCAAATTAATCGTGTGTTTTTATTTCAACGACTAACAAATGGATCGGTGTCAGCGATCCTTTGATTTTCTGAAAGAAAGGATTATTATTACATTAGGCACGAACATATTTTTTATATAAATAAAAGTACCATTTTTAACGCAGGCTTTTAGCGAGTAGAGAGTCAAAATTGGAGGAATTCTACAGCAAGAGGTTAGCTCTATCTAAAATATTATCATGAAACTGATATATCTACTAAAATTTCATTATTTCATACGTCATAAAAATCCATGCCGCACATTCTGGGCGATGCTAACGACTCATCCTTCAAAAATGTATAAAACGAATTTGAAGATTAAATAACTTCATTTTGTTAAAATTGTTAACAATGAAATTAAAATTAAACAAACCAAGATCATGAATATGCCAAAAAGGCATAGCTGCAAAATATTTCCGCCAACGACCAGCATTGGGACGGGCGCTCTGGTATACTGTTAAGTTTCAAAATGATTCCCTCATGGCTGGCCTCATTTGAAGGACGTCGGCGCCGCCGCCGCCACAGAATTGGTTCAGCAGGCCACAGGAAAAAATCAAGCGAGAGTGAATGTAATAAAAACGCATGTTCGCTTTCCACAAATTTGGACTGATAACGCTCTCCAATGTAAAATTCTTTCTCTATCTTTTTTTTTAATAATTTGCTTAATAAGCGAGAGAAGAAAAATAGTTGCATACATTTTCTAAAAGTTTATATTTTATTGAATTTAAATTTGCATGGATAACCATACTTTATTTTTAAATTTTCCACAAACAATAGAAATGTTTCTGTATTATAATGTCAAAGATCTAATAATAGAAAATAAAATTACTAGCTAGTTTATTAAAATTTATTAATTTTTTTTAAATTAGTTTATATTATAAAACTAATGAGATAATTTTACAAAATAATAAACATAATTAATTTATTATTTTACAAATTAATATTTTAAAGCCGTATTTCATATTAGAGTATAACCAAATTAGCACTCTAATAAACAAAATACACCGACTGTGTGGCACAGTGGTTAGTGCGCTTGGCTGATAATCTGACGGCCTTGGGTTCTATCCTGGCCAGGGTCAGGGCTTGAAAAAGTTCTGATTCTGGCCGGCTAGTTCACAAGACTACAGAAAATCATAGGAGGTGCATTAATCACTGCGACAGGCAGATTCGGGAGGAATTGCAGGCATTTCGTCTGCAATTTCGGCTATGCTGTCTGGTGTTTTCTGCGGTTTCCATCAGACATTCCAGGCGAATGCCGGCATAGTTCCCATTCCTAGGCCGCAGCAGCCGCTCACCTTCCTCATCCTTCAAATTCCCAACAACCAAACCCATCCTATATATATGCATATTATGCTCCTCTCTGCCCGGCCCAGTGGGTCGCAAGGTCACCGTGTAATCGGCCCCGAAAGGGGAGAATCCGAGTTATTGGCCCTTGCGATTTAGCAGCCTGTCTGCTACCGCTGGTGCCTTTCCCAAGAGGGATAAACAATTAAAAAAAAATTTTTGATTTTTTTCTGCAACAAAAAACGTGTACCTTATTTCTTCTTCTTTTTTTTACACCGTTTTTGTGACAGAGGGGCTGCAGTTCAGCCAATCATTTAGATTGTGCTCAATTAATTTAAAAAAGCTCAAATTTCAAATTTTTCTTTCGTCATTTTCTGAAATTGATTGTGGATATAATCAGGAAACTGAGTATTTGTTATTATTATTTATTCTACTCAAGTCGTACTAAAAAAAAATGAAATTTAAAGTATTTCCGGATTTGGCTACAAATATTTCCGATGTCATTCCATTGTTCGCACACCATACGTCCACCCTGTCCAGATCATAATGCACATTTCAGCGTCCTCGGCCGTTTTAATATTGTTGTTAAGTGTGCAGTCATCAGTGGTGTGGTAAAAATACGATGATGACTGCATATTTCAACAATATTGAAACGGCCGAGGACGCTGAAAAATTGCAGGATGATCTGGACAGTGTGGACGCATGGTGTGCGAACAATGGAATGACGCTGAACGCCAAAAAGAGCAGAGTGCGCCGTGCTTTAGCAAGTTGTTTGCTAGCTAAGAGCCATTTCAATCAATTTTTCATAATTGATTGTTTGACTTGTTTAAAGAAAAATAAAATGAATTGAATTGAATTTCTCCAACATTCCTTCACATAATTATGTATTTTTAGTGTTTTATTATTTACTTTAATATTTAATTTTTATGCATTGACTTGATGTAAGATTTTGTATATTTCATTGTATTTGAATGGAGAATGAATTATTATTATTATTATCGTTGTTTATTCTACTCAAGTCATACATGAAAAAATTGAATTGGAAAAAAATGAGCAGAAAGGGTATCATCACAACTAGCAGAGGTCTCTGCTAAAACGCCCGACATCAAAAAGAGATCGGACACCGCGTGAACCCACACTATCGAAAAAAAAAAGAACAATCACGACACTTTAAAATTGCTGCCACAAATACTGCTTGCAAAGGGAGGGAAAATTGCTGGTTGGGCAGTCTTTGACCTTTGACGGTCAGTGGCAGGTCATTCCAGGGCTTGACGACCCTGAAGGAAAAGCGCGCTGGCCAAACACACTTCGGACCGGGGGTGGCTGGAGGCGGGCATGCCGGCTATTGTCGCCTCGCAGCACACGGCCCTCGATAATTCGGGCACGCGCGTCAAAATCATAAATTATAATATGTTAATTTTTAATAATTTAAAACTACCCCTCACATCTGCTTAAAAATTTAATAAAATTAACAAAGAAATAAATTTAAAATTTAAAAAATAATACATAAAAGAATAACTGCGCCGCTTAGTATTTGTGCGTGTAGAGAATTAAAGCTCATTTTACGCGCGTGAAACGGATTGAGGTGCACGCCGGCCAAAGAGTGAAAGTTTGCAAAAATTAACCCCGGCCGGCGAGACACACATGCATAATTGCATACGCGAAACTCAAGTGTGGAGTATATGTTATGTTTACATACGGTTTGATCGTGCAGAACTGCAGAGGCCAGAGGCGCGCAGCGGCCGGAGTCGTTCTGTGCTGATGATGGTGGCACCATGGTGAGGAAAAAAAGTCAAGAAAAAAGTGCACCGAGGATGACCGAGAGCAAAACGAGCAAACTCACTCACTCAGGCTTGATTTACATCGTCGATCTCCCTATACTTTCGACGCACTGCCTTCATCTTCATGCACCGACTGTCACATTGTCACTGAACTCTCTGACCGACTGTTTCCATGATTCATCCATAATTGTACTCCCTCCCCCACCCCAATCCCTCTTTCCCCACATTTTCCATTAATTCCATCTATGCCAGAATCACAAGCAGTGCATCTAGCAACGTGGTACAAAGTCGCAACATCTATCCTTTTCTCCATTCCAAGCATTCCGATGAAATCATTCTCACCTCACACAGTTTTGGACTTTGGACTTTACTTTTCACATATATGCGCACGCCACCGATGACTCGGCGGATTGGATTGGCATTTTTAGCACTTCGGCGGTCGCCCTGACGGTCTTGTCACAATTTGTGACATTTGTGTTTTGTATGGTTTTGAGTTTTGAGACGACCGGAGCCAGATCACCGAAGCGTAATTATAGTGATCCGAGAAGTGAGGAGCACAACTCGTTCCGTTGGGGTGGAAAGTACAATTTGAAGATCTGCGGCAAAATTGATTTTAGACCCACCACCAACATGGAAAATCCCCCTTGCAATGCTGGTGATATCAACAAGTGGTCGTGAGTAAAAAAGAGAAAAAATAAATCGACTGCTATACATAATAACACGACCTATACATATAATTTTACCAAAAATAATTAACAAAAATTTTGAAATATTTAATTCTTGCAATTTGGTTCCAGAAATGTTTTTACACTTCTAAACGCTTCTTATGAATCGTAATTATTTATTTATGTGTTGCAGTGAAAGTGACCAGTGGTGTTTGCAGCAAGCAAAAATAAGGGCCTCGCATTTAAAAAATTTGTACACCCTCGAGTGGCTGGCCCTGAGCGTCATTGTGAAGCACTTGCATCGATTTGTCCACCCAGATTCCTGCATCTACTTGTCAAACTTGCGTATGTATGGCTTATCTAAGACCATATTATAGTCATTCTAAGCAATTCTAAGCATGTAGATTTTTTTCCATAATAATTATTGAGAACATTTAATTTTCATAGCCTTAGATGTTTATGAGGATTTGCTGGAATTGATGGAGGAAAGGAATCATATTACATGGACCCCTGACAAGGAGATCAATAATAGCTTTGATGTTGGACCCAATTTGAAAGCACTTTGTCTTATTCTCAACTCACGAATTGACGAACTGTCACTTCAAGTTCTTCACCATGAACCGCATACGTTGAAGGATTGGCCTCGAATTCTGGAAGAGGTTTGATCAGACATTGATATTTTATTCCTATATTAATAATTATAATTTTTAATCGATTTCAGGCTCTGAAGGCTGTGTTGGACAAAGACGCTCCACTAACAAAACTGGATTTGGGTGGCGAATCCATCAACCCTGAAATTCACAAGTGCCACCAGGTTTTAGTGAGTCGCAGAAACTTGCAGCTCTTGACGAGAATGATTCATTTGCAACACCTCTACCTAAACGCCAACCTGCTTACGGGCGTCAATCTCATCACGCTGGCCAAAGGACTTCCTCTTTTGGAATATTTGACTTGTGAATTGCTGTACAAGAAGTCAATTGGCATTGCCTGTTTGGTGCTCTCTGTCCAGCTATCTCTTGGTCAGTTCTTCAAAAAGATGAAGGAATTCTACTTTGCTGTGTGGAAGCATGACAAGCATGGACATTTGGAAAGTTGTGATTCGGATCGATCAACCATCATGCAAACCTGTCTTCTCAGCAATCCAAACCTCTCAATTGTGGGAGGAAGAATTTCGGACATTTCAAGAGCAAGTCACCTGTCACCACAAATCAACCTTCAAACCTCTCTGAAACTTAAGCACCTTGTTGCCGAAAAATCTCTTCCAAACAGGATCATCAGTAAATTGCCCCACGTCACAGCTCTCAAGGTTTAAAAAATGAAATTGATTTATTTTGTATTTTCGTCATATTTTATATGGTTTTAGATGTTCCTAAGTGAAAGTGAGGGACTTAACGATGAGACAATTTTCAAGGGTCTGACAAATTTGGATACCCTTCACATCATGCTGAAAAAACGCTATGAATTCGTAGTGCTTATTGCCATCATCGCATGTCACGGAAGATGCCTCACAAATCTGACCCTTGAGTTTGACGATGGCGGAGAGACTTCAGAAGTGTTAGATTTTTTCCAACCGTTGATTGAAGTTTTGCACCTTGACCTTCTCCTCACTTTCTGCCCAGAGCTCAAAAGTTTCTCCGCCATCAAGGTTAATTGCATTCAATTTATACAGATGGCCTGCCATAGGAGGACCTTCTCCACCCTAACAGAAATCAAACTGGACTGTGTTGCATTTAAGTATGTATAAATTCCTATTTAAATTATTTATAAAACATGATTTTCTTTTAATTGATAGTGCGGCTCCTGGTCTGCTCCGCAAGTTGCTAACAATGCCATCAGAGCTGCACAAAGTGGAGCTCTTTTTCACTGAAGTGGAAGAAGGAGATATGAGAGAACTGGCCGAGAAAGTCAAGAACAAGACTGCCCTGCAGCATCTCGAGAGCTTTGAAATGTCCCCCAACTCCTTTTGCACTAAAAATGCCATCAAAATGGCTTGTCAACTTGTAAAGAATTTGTGTGCCGTCGGCCCTTTCAGTTTGGAAACGGTTGATCTAGACCTAGCTGAGCAAGAGGAAAAGTATCCAGACGTTGATTCAGATGAATGTCTACTTGCTTGCATGAAACTGGCCAACTGTACTTCATCAGTTGATGACTAATATGAACCTCAAGACCTACATTTTTTTTAATAATGATAACGATTATTTTATTTAGTGCCAATATTAAATGTTTATTTTATTTTCTTTCAAGCTTTCAAGATGTAACAAGATTTTATCAATAAAATTAGTGGCAAAAGATGGACTGTGGTTTAAACTGCTAAAACTCAACACTGGCTTAACAAAAGCATGGTATATCAGAGATAATTCATAAGTTTTAGTTCTTTTCCAAAATATCAACAAAAAATTACCAATTGAAGCTAAATGACATTAAAAGAATTGTACAATAATATCAAAATTTCCCCCATTTTTCAAAGTGATCAACACTTGCCAAGCACCATGGCAAGCAGAGCCATTCGAACGTAGAGGCCACCCTCAGCCTGACGGAAATAGGCAGCCCTGGGGTCAGAATCAAACTCGGGGGTGATCTCCAGCAGTCTGGGCAGAGGGTGCAGCACCACCATCTTCCTCTTTGCCAGGCGCATCAACTGTGGTGTTACTTGATACACATTGAGAGCCTTTTCGTAATCCTCTTTTGATGTGAATCGCTCTCTCTGAATGCGAGTCATGTACAGCACATCAGTGTCTGGCAACACGCTCTCTAGGTCCGAATGACTCTCCTGCAATCCAAGACTAAATAAAACAATTTCAAAATCTCCTATTCAGTCTTGCCTGTTTTATCCCAGCAGAGCCAACAACATTCTGAACGTCTATCGGCATTTCCAGCCCTGGTGGAGCAACATACCTTAATGTCACATTGTAGAGAGTCAACAACCTTGAATTTGAGAATTTTTATAAAGTCAAATATTATTTTAGAGATCGAGTACACAACTCACTTGGCCAGAGAGTGGACGGTGCGGCCGTGTTTCAGGTCGCCCACCAGAGTGATGGTAAGACCATTGACAGTGCCTATCTCCTCACGAATGGCAAAAATGTCGAGCAAAGCTTGTGTTGGATGTTCTCCTGTTCCATCGCCTGCATTTATCACTGGCTTACGACAACGAGCAGCAGCCGCCTTTGAAAATGAAACATTCTTGAAATTATAATTGAAAATTTGAACAATACATACACCAACTGCTCCAGGTTTGGGATGTCGAAGGACGATGATATCAGAGTAGCCGGACATAACCTGAACCGAATCTAATAAAATAATTTTTTGATCTTAAAGCAAATCATCCCTAAGAATAAAATCAAGTTACCCTCAAGTGATTCTCCTTTCTGAGCTGACGAACTGGCTTCATCGATGTGGATCACAGAGCCACCAAGGCGCCACATAGCCGCAGCAAAACTGCATGAGGTGCGTGTGCTCACTTCGAAAAAGGCGCTTGCCAACACCTTACCCTGAAATTAAAATTAGAAAAATTACTCGCGAATGGAACAAAGTTAAAATTGAAGAGTAAATCCCTACCTTCAGAATGTGGTCAAGACCACGTTCTTTCTGCACTGCATGTCGGAATGTCTGAGCAACATCAAAAATTCGGTTCAGTTGGTCCTTGGAGAAGATTCTGGAGCTCAAAATGTGCTGGCCTTGAAGGCGATGTGGCGCAGGAACTGCAGGCAGCACGTCGTCATCAACCTGCTTTATGTCCAATTCCTCCATCATTCGGGCGTGCATGTCTAAAAATAATAACAATTCATTAATTTTAGGAAAAATAAGAAACTATTTTATATTCTATTTCATAAAAATTGGGAATTTTTATGTGATGTTATAAAATTATTATATAATAGATTGTTACCCTTCTTGGGCTTGCCAAGATCAGGCGGCTGTAAAGGTGAGACTGGTCTTTTGTCAATGACAATTGTCGGCACCACTGGCGATGGCGCCAAGGAAGGCAATGCCTGAGGCACTTGGGGCCTTGACCACTTTCTCACATCCTGCCCATACCCGGTGTTGACAAGCACATTGCCCTCCAAAAAGGCAAGCTCGCCACGCAGCACCACTCTGTGGACAGCTCCCTTCAGCTTGCGTCCAGCAAATGGTGTCCAGCCTGCCTTCGAATGGATAGTCTTCTCCGGAACTGTGAACTCCTGCGCCAAGTCCACTTCAATGTATGTATCGTGTTGCTCGGGCAGATTGAAGATGCGTTTTGGATTTGTGTGATAGCGCAGCACGATGTCCTGTTGAGTCAAAAACAATCGCATTTAGTAATTTGTAAAGATGAAAATTAAATTTTTGTATACATCAATGGTAAGTTTTCCTTCAGAGACCGCATTCAACAGCAAAGGCAAGGCAGTCTCAAGTCCAGGAAAGCCTGGAGGTGATTTTTCGAGCTTTTCCATCAACAAATGTGGAGCTGACCAAAACATTTTTTCTTTTTTAAATTGCATTTCATTACTATTTAATTTTACCATGGTCCGTGGCAAAAACATCAATGATGCTTAAGTTTTCCCACAGAGATTTTACATCATCTGAAGTACAAATCGAAGGCTTCACATTAGCTTTCGAGGTCCCGATTGTACTCAAATCGTCGGTTGAAAGGAATAGATGGTGAGGGGCAACCTCACAGGTCACTGGCAGACCCTGATAAAATAATAATAATTAATTTTGACACTAAAAGCATTATCATACAACCATTTGCTTGGCTTTCTTGATCATAAGAATTTCCTCCTTGCGAGCTACGTGACAGACGTGCAAGGGCCGCTGATGCAAGCTGGAGAGCAGCAGTGCTGTGCTTAGGGTCTCTCGCTCAGCATGTACACACAAGGGTGATGTCCGTGGCCAGTTTTTAAAATGCTATGCCAAAAGAAAAAGTAGATTAAGATTTTTTCTTATAAGGGTTACAAAGACAAACCTCAGAGCACACTTCAAAGTTGTCCAATTTCAAGGTGGTGAAAGTTTCATTCATGTACATCTTGAGACCAGCAACTGAGTTAGCCAAGTTGCAAATGGATTCAAAATTATTTACAGAGGCACCAGCAAACAAAGCATAGTCACATCTAGCCTTTTGGGCCGCTAACTGAAAATTTTAAACAACCATGTTTGAATTTCAATTTGTATAAATATAAAATTTACATTTTTAAATATTATTGCATTTTAAATATAGCAAATGATTAAACTATAAATTAAATACCTCGGCAACAAAATTAAGAGTAGCAAGGTCAGTGACTGCAGGGTTTGTATTGGGCATGGCACAGACAAGTGTGATGCCGCCAGCCAGAGCTGCACAAGTGCCTGAATCAAAGTCCTCCTTGTGGACAGCGCCTGGTTCTCGCAGATGCACATGGACATCGATGAGACCAGGGAGTCGTACGAGCTGATGACTTGAGAGACAGTCAGAGTGGGGCTTCATTTGTGGCGCACCTCCAATCAGCATGAGTGCGTCAATCAACAATTTGGCGCACTTGACGTTTGTTATCAGTGGAATGGCGTAGTCGACGGCCATACGGCGCGTGCGGTAACCTTGGGTTACCAGACTGGACACCCGACGAGCACCGCCGTCTCGCTTTGGGAGGTTTATGACAAGGTCAAATTTGCGGTTAGCCAAATAGTCAGCCATCTGGTTCAACTGGCCTCGTGTAGCATTTTCACCAATGTCCTCGAAGCTCCACTCGACAGCCTCAATCTGCAATAAATCAAATTTTAACATTTTATATATTTATCGATTCCTTTTTTATTAGAACAAATAAAAATAAGAGTTTAAAACTGTCGGGGTTAACTCGGCACTTCTTCCATAGGCCACTGATGGTGCTTGCTGCACCATTTGTGGCCTTGGAAGAGAGCGAGACAGGGCATCAGGTGACATGGGAGCAGCGTTGAATGATAAGACCAGCATTAAGATTCCTGTCTGCAAAGCCGAGTTGTGTAGTTGTGTTTTGTAATGTGTTAAATGAAAAAGTCTAATTAATTACAACCAACATTTTAAATTAAGTAGTTATTGTTTCTATTAATTCTCATTTCCCTGGTCATAACGATTAAGCAATTTAATCAGTAATTAAGCATCCGGCAAACATCTTTTCGCCGACAAAAACATAAATTAATTTAATACCACAAACCTTTAGTCCATGTTCATTGTAGAAGTCAGCAGTGCCATAGCTGGCATATAACTTGAAGCCCATCTTCTCCAAATTCTTGATGCTGGGCAGTAACTCATTTTTGTGCTAAATTTTAAATTATTAATTTATTGGCAAACTGATTTTCAATTAAAATTACCTTGAATGTGCCAATGGAGAGAAGAACGCTCTTTTTGGGCAACTGGAAGCCAGTGCTCATGATAGCCTTCAAGTAGGCCTCGTAGCGATTATCTCCAAAACAAGCTACTTCTCCAGTAGACGCCATTTCAACACCAAGCATCACATCAGCACCTGTAGTGATATAAAAACTAAATTTTTTGGAATACCAGAATGACAATTAATAAACTTGCCTGTGAGGCGCGAGAAGGAGAACTGAGGCACCTTCACACCAACCTTTCCGCACCCATGCAGAATGTCTACTGCATTCTCCTCGTAGCCCAGCATGACCCTAGTGGCTGTTGCTACAAAATCGTGTTCAAGAGTTTTCGAAACAAATGGGAACGATCTTGAAACACGGACGTTACACTCAATGACCTTCAGCTCATCATCCTAAATTAAAATACCAACATAATTTTTTTTCTTCCACCAAAAATAAATATTGCCACCTTTGCTATGAGTTGCATGTTGAAGGGGCCAGTGACCTCAAGGTTCCGAGCAATGGCTTTTGCAATGGCTGATATCTTGTGCAAGGTTTTAGGATTGATATCTTGAGGTGGCGTCACAAGAGTTGCATCTCCAGAGTGAACACCTGCATTCTCAACATGTTCCGACACAGCCATGCAGAGAATAATGCCCTCCTTAGCCACAGCATCCACGTCGATTTCCTGTTAAATTAATTTGTTTAATTATGCAATCCACTGAAAGTAGAAGGGGCCCAATACAAACCTTTGCGTCAAGAAGGAATTTTGACACAACCACGGGATGTTCCTTGCTGACCTTGGCGGCTGACTGCAGGAATGTCTTCAGGTCATCCTCGTTGTGCGCCACATTCATTGCAGCGCCACTGAGTACATAAGAGGGTCGCACCAGACAAGGATAACCAACAGCATTGCAGAACTCAATCGAACTCTCCAATGTTGTCAATTCTCTCCACCTATATTTTTTTGAATTTTTAGTCAAGTCATTTCACTTAATAAAAAGATTTTAGCCAAAACCTTACCTCGGTTGAAGGATCCCAATTCTGTCCAGCATACGTGAAAACTTGAACCTATTCTCAGCACTGTCCACCATTTCAGGACTGGTTCCCAAGACTCTGGCCTGTTGACGGTGCAGGTCCATTGCTATGTTATTAGGCAGTTGCCCACCCACACTCAAAATTATGCCTTCAGGATTTTCCAATGTGTAGATGTCCATTGCAGTCTGCAAAAAAAATTATTTGTTATCTTCCAATATTTATTCAAATTAAAAGAGAAAATAAAAATAAAACTATTTATATTTTAATTGTACCTCAAAAGATATTTCGTCAAAGTACAGTCGGTCTGACATATCATAATCCGTTGAAACAGTCTCTGGGTTGTAGTTCAACATAATGGTCTTCTTCCCCAACCGCTTCAACTCTCTGAGGCAGCCAACTGCACACCAATCAAATTCGACACTACTTCCAATACGATAAACTCCAGATCCTGGAGAAATTTGGTCAGTTCAAGTTAAAAAACACTGCATGGTGATAAACTAACCAATGACCATGACATAGTTTCCTGGAAAGTCGAGGTCATGTGAAGTTCCGTTATAAGTGAGGTAGAGGTAATTGGTGGACGCTGGCCACTCTGCAGACACTGTGTCAATTTGCTTCACCCACGGACCACTCACTAAAATTATAATGAATTAATTTTTATGTACCAAATCCATTTTGTTGTGATTCCTAACCTTGAGCCCTTTTCTGCCTGATGTTCAGTTCAGTGCTGCTGACAAATGAAGCAATCTGCTTGTCAGAGAATCCCATTTTCTTGGCCCTGGTGAGCAGCTCAATACTCAAGGACTTGCTCTTCTCCAGCTCATTCTGCAGAGAAATTATCCCAAGCAATTTGTGCAGGAACCACGGATCAATATTGGTCAGCTTATTCAACTTTTCAACTGTGTAACCGTCCTTGATGGCAGCAGCCAAGACAAACATGCGCTTGTCTGTTGGTTCAGAAAGCTCTTTCTCACAGGTTGGTTTGAAGTAGGGGTCAAAGCCGCAAATGTTCTCATCAGACATTCGCAGCGCTTTTTGGAAGGCCTCCTCAAAGTTCCTGCCCACAGCCATCACTTCGCCCACACTCTTCATGGAACTGCCAATCTATGGTTTTTTGTTACAATCAACATCCAAAATTATTTCCATGTAAAACAATACCTTTGTGCTCACTCTTGAAAATTTGCTCAAGTCCCAACGAGGGATTTTAACAACACAATAATCAAGACTGGGCTCAAAGCAGGCAGTGGTTACTCCAGTGACAGAGTTCTTGATTTCGGTCAATGGAATGCCTAGGCAGAGCTTTGCTGCCACGTAGGCCAATGGGTATCCAGTTGCCTTGCTGGCAAGGGCAGAACTGCGTGACAAACGGGCATTCACCTGCAAGAATTTAAAACAGGGTTGAAGTTTTAACAGATCAAATGTTTTTTTCCTCCTACCTCTATGATGTAATATTCATCAGAGTAGGGGCAAAGGGCATATTGGATGTTGCACTCGCCAATAATTCCAAGACTTCGGATCACTTTGATGGCAACGGTACGCAATTTGTGGTACTCCCTGTTGTTCAGGGTTTGGCTCGGGGCCACCACGATGCTTTCACCAGTGTGAATACCCAAGGGGTCCAAATTTTCCATGTTACAAACCTGTCAAAATTAGCGGAACAATAAATAAAAATTAAATTCATTCATTTTTATTGTGATTTTTGTTGAATATTACCGTGATGCAGTTGTCATAGGCGTCCCTCACCACTTCATACTCAACCTCCTTCCAGCCCTTCAAACTTTTATCTATGATTAGCTGCTTAGAGTGTGCCAAGGCCTGCTGCGACAGAGAGCTCAGCTCATCCTTGTCGTTGGCAAAGCCAGATCCCAGGCCACCTAAAGTGTAAGCAGCTCTTGCCAAGACAGGATAACCAAGTTTTTCTGCAGCATCAAGAGACTAAAAACATTTCCATAAAAAAATTAACTTTCTTGGTACATCTTTTATTGACCTACCTCCTGTACATTGTAAACAGCGATACTTGGAGAAACTCTCTCATCAATTGACGCCATTTTTTCCGCAAAAAGCTGGCGATCTTCTGTGACCATGATGGCCTCAATGGGAGTGCCGAGAATCTCAACTCCATACTTCTGAAAAACTCCCTTTGCATCCAAGGCAACACCACAGTTCAGAGCAGTTTGACCTCCGAAAGTCAGCAGAATTCCGTCAGGTCTCTCATACTGGATGACCTGCTCCACGTATTCAGGGGTTATGGGCAAAAAGTAGACCTTATCAGCAAAGCCCGGGGAGGTCTGGACGGTGGCAATATTTGGGTTGATCAGGACAGTGTGGATTTTTTCCTCTCGGAGTGCCTTAAGCGCCTGCGAACCCGAGTAGTCAAACTCCCCGGCTTGTCCTATGGACAGACCTCCTGAACCAAGAAGCATCACCTTCTTCACAGTGGTTTTTTGCGGTTTTTCTGCAGGAAAAAAGTTAAATAAGGACAAATAGAATTTGGGTAAATCCATTGACAAAATCATCATTCCATGCAGACTGACCTGGGACGAAAGCAAGCTGCTTGATTAGATATGAATCAACACAAGCAAACAACTCAGGTGCTTTGCGGTAGTCTTGTGCAACGCTCAGAAAAATGTCAAACAAACACTCCAAGTCTTCAGGACCGCCACAGTGCTCAGGGTGGAATTGCACGCTGTGCATGCCAAGCAAAAACATATATTGAAAAAAAAAACATTCAGTGCGCAGCACACAAAAAGCAGAGCAACGTGCAAAAGCATATTGAAATTAAGAAGGCAAACCTGAAATAAGGTAGTTTGGAGTGAACAATGCCCTCATTGGAGTTGTCGTTCATGTTGGTGAAGAGCGGCAACCAGTTTTCCGGCATGTCCTCAGTGGATACGGCAAAGCCGTGATTCTGGGTAGTCATGAAGCAGCGACCAGTGGAAATGTGCACACAAGGCTGGTTGTGCCCACGGTTGCCATACCTGACATAAAAATTAATTGAAAGGTGAATTAAATTTTTGATCCGTTTTTAGGTTAAAAAGAGGTTTAATATAAACCATTAAATGCAACCAAAAAAGTACCTCATTTTATATGTTGAGCAGCCAGCAGCAATGGCCAGAAGTTGGTGGCCAAGACAAATCCCAAAAATTGGCTTCACAACAGCTGCCATCAGACGACGCAAATTATCAACTAGAGCTTTGCAAAGCTGCGGATCTCCTGGACCATTGCTCAAGAACAAAGCATCAAATTTTTCCTAAAACATTAAAATATTTTTGTGCCTCAAATCTTCTCTCATCAAAGTGTGCATACCTTTTCTTCAAGTAGAGGCGCGTCCCAAGGTACAACCTCGACTTGAGCACCTCTCTTGGCCAAACACCTGATCTGATTGGTTTTGCCTCCGCAGTGCATCATCCTGATTTTTGGACTCCCTCCAGAGTTATAAATCATTGTAGTCTGAATAATAAATTATGCATTCATAAAACTGAACACTCTAAAAGTATATTTGTACCTTTGGAGCAACTTCAGCAACCAGATTGCGCAAGTTGAGGTCTGGAATCTCCCTCTGGAGATCCTCCAAAGTGGTATCACCAAGGACGATGCGCGCCATTGTTGAGCCAGACTCACGCAGGATCCTGGTGAGAGCCCTGGTGTCGATGCCGGACAGCCCAGTCACACCGTTCTCCAGCAGCCAACGGTCGATACTTTTGACGCTCTGGAAATGGCTCGGGGTGTCGCATTTTTCAGACACAATCAAGGCTTTTGGGTAAATCCTGTCGGACTCGAACCACCTATAATGTAAAATGGACATAAATTAACAAATTATGAAAGCAGATTTCTACAAATTAGAAAAAAATAATAATTTTAGAGAGGAATATCAAATCAGCACCTGCTGAGATTAAACTCGTCCTTTGACTCTTCGGGCACCCCGTAATTTCCAATCAGAGGATAGGTGAGTAGGAGAAACTGCCCATGGTACGATGGGTCAGTCAGGGCCTCCACATAGCCAACCATACCAGTCTGGAACACTGCATGGAAAATTGATGCGATTTGAAAAAAAAATATTAATAAAAGAGAAGGAGTAAAATTAATAAAATTTTATATATTTTCATTATTAGCTATTTTGCTCTAACAATAAGTGATTATCACAATTATTATCACTTGAATTAAGATAAGGCTGATTATTGCACTATAATTTAGTATTATTTTTATGAGTCACTAAGTGTTGTTGTGATCCAGGCTTGTCATGGATAGTGGAAATGAATTTGATTAAATTATTGGCTATTTATCTCTCAATTAATCATCGCAATCTATTAAAGAAACCAATAGAAATTAAAAATTTAGACAAGACAATTTTTTTTTTTGTAAAACATGATCATTAAATATAGTATATAAAAATTATATGGCATTAATCTATATTTAAATACGGACAATTTTTGTAATAAAGAAAAGTAAAACAGAAAATGAAAATTTACCAATTTCGCCATCGACTGCTGTCTTAGCTCCAAAAATCTGCCCAGCAAAGGTTTGTCCACTGGACAGGATGAGAGTCGCATTTTCCGCCGTCGTCTCCATCTCGTCCACTCTCATGGAAAGCAGAAGAGCTTCTGTTCAACCGCCCGGCCACAATTGGAATTTTGACCTGCGGAGGACAGAGCGGGTTTACTAAGCGAGTTGCCACATAAATTCCAAAGGTCGGGGTAGTGCATTTTGTATTTCAACACTTTCAACCCAAACATGAGTATTCACTTTGAGAAAAGTGTTTGGAATGGGATGAACAGCATCGGAGAGAATGTGAAATTTATTTTATCACATCAAAATAAAATAGAAATAGGGATGTTGACACAAATTATAACCATTACAATCTAAAAACAAAAACAAAAATGCATTATTGTCTCATTTTCAATTTTAATGTTAATGTTGCAGCCAAATTATATAAAAAAGTTATAAAAACAAACTTAATAAATAAAGTAAATTTCACAGTAAATAAAAAGAGCAGGACTTGCAGGTGATAACTGCATAATAAAAGTTATTGATCTGAAGGGCTGATAATTAAAAAAAAAAAAAAAAACTGAGAGCGTTGGAAGATACAGAGAAAAAATACTTGTAGCAATCATTGCTGCAAACCATTTTCTCAAGAGGTGGTTTGTCTCTCGAAAGACGTCGTTTTAAGTATAAGATTATTTTTTCCAAAATCATAGCTTTCTGACGAAATAAAAAATGAAGTTTGATAACAAATCAAACAATGGTATTGGGGTACTTGCAGAGATTCTTTAACAAATTAATGCTGTGTCAGGCATCTTAAGCATTTATTTATCTAAATTTTATATCAATCAATCTTATTTTCATATCAATAAGTGGATGGACAAAGTCACATCTTGTGTGCTAATTTGGCACACAAATTTTTTTCAACATGAAAGAAGTTTAACTTTCATCTGTGAATTTTGGAAAGTTGGATTGCAATTTGTTCAATTTGTGCGAATGACTATTTCTAATCAATTATAATAAAAAAATTCAAGTTAAGCGCATTACAAGAGCAAAACATTCAATGCTTGTCAGAACTGTGTTGAAGTGAAGTTGAAAATAGTTTAAATAACAAACAAAGATAAAATTCTACGTATTTTATTGGCAAAGGATTCCACCGACTCCATAGTCGCAATATGAATCAGTCCACCCGTTGAAATACTGTTCGAGCATAAATTTCAGGCAGAACGGATACACGACGTCATTATTGTACTGCGGAAAAGTTAAAGCCCAATCAAAGTTTTGAACGGTGCGGCCAGAACCTTCCCATCGCCATCGCAACGAATTCGCGGCTCTCTTTGCTCCCATCCAATAGGTGGTGTGATAAGGATCTGCAAATTTTTTCGTTGTGACATACGTAGATAGAAAGGGATATTTAAAAAAAAAAATCCGTCGCGTTATAAATAAAATGGAAAAATTGATGGTTATTTTGATTATTATCACAAGTCTGATATTGATATCAGCATGTAAATTTTTTGATATCTCCTTAAAAGAAACAAATCAATTCATTGGGCCCAAACAGGCCTCTTTAGCCATGCAAATATCAAGCAGCGCAAAACAATTTGATAGTTTTTCGATCAGGCCCATAAACTTACTGTTATTGGCCACGTATTTTTTGACAGTTTCCCACTTTCCAAACTCCTCGAATGAAATCAGTTTCATGCCCCTTGATTTACATTCAGCTTTAGCCTCATTCCTGGTCACATCGGTCCTGTTAATGAAATACTTGTGCCCGTCAATGACCACGTACTCTGCAACCGCTGTTCACAAAACAGATTTAAGCAAAAGCAGGCCAAATCACTTTTCAAGATAAAAAAAAATACAAACTTGGCAACTGACGGATATTTGCAGCTGCTGCTAGCTGAAGAATTAATTATTCAATTTGTAAGTATAATAATTATTAAATAATTTCTTACATGCAGCGCACCCAAGACAAAAAGTAGTGAAAAAAAGCTTCGATTCATCGCGGATGGTTTTGTTTAAGTTCTGGTTGACTATTTGGTATGACTGCGGAATAAATACCCCCTTGAGTTATGCAATATCTTTGGTGATAAAATAATCTGAAGTGTGATGACGCACAAATAAGGCTCAATACGACCTTTAATTTTAAATAGCATGTTGATTATCAGGCTAATTTCTTCTTTCATTTTTTCTATAAGTCATGTACGAGTTAAGAGGGATGCATGACGTAAAACAATGCCCAACAATAATATCTTCAATTTAAATGTAATTATCGGTAATTATTATCTATTCAATTCAATTTTAATCAGCATTTCTGAGAGTTAAGGCAAACTTTCATGCCAACTACAAACTGCGTCGATCTTGATCTGGGCACCAAATTTAATCATATATTGACTAGATTATATGAAAATCTGATTGAGAACTGTTTGCAAAGAGACTGTAGAATGTTATTGCGATTGTTTTCAGCCCAGCAACATTCATCTACTGATAAAAATTAAAAAAAAACTGCCTTTCTGGGAGTAATGCTGCAGCAGAGTAGATTTGCCTAAACATCTCAAATGATCTCAAAATAACCAACCCCAAACCACATTGCAACCGCAACCCCCTTCATCATCATCATTTTCAGCATCATCGAGAAGTCGCCAAATATAATGTGATCAAATTTTTTCCCAATTATTAACGATTTGAATGTACAATTAATAAAAAAAATAATAAATTAAATAAAACTAAGAAAAAAATTTAATAAAAAAGACCAAATTTGCAGTTCTGATAAGGGGCACAGGCCGACAAGACTGACCCTAAAAAATCTCAAGCGCCCTTCGATATTTTTGGAAAGGAGGGTGGGTTTGGCGAAGAAGTTGAGTGCCTGCAACTTTTGAACTGGAACTAATAATAAGCCCGTTATTTGCCTCAGAATGTCTGGTGCGTCTGGTGTGAACACAAAAACACCAAACATCTTGCCAAATATGTGCTTGACTAATGGAATGCCTAAAATTTCTCCCAAATATATATAATATTATGGCCGTCGCAATGATCAATGCACAACAATTCATCGTAAATTTATAAAACAATTCTTTTCTTTTAATAATAAAACATGTTTTTTGTTAAAAAAAAAATTAACAAAATTTCCTATGAAATATTAAATTTTGATTTTTCTTTGTTACTAAAAATTAATTTTTTTTTAGTTTTTATTAATTACAATCTACATGATAAATCTGTTTGATGTGCCAATATTACGTGGATAAATTATGGTGGAAAATTTTGATTCGTAATTCATATTAAATTTGAGAATTTAGCTCAAAAGGGAGGGGCTAAAAAAATGAGTTTTACTTAGTTTGCTGCGGCCTGCATACCCTCTCTGGTAAAAATCAGTAAAATTTTACCCTAATTTCCGGAAAAGCAGCCAGAAGCGGTAAAAAATAACAGAAAAAACGTAAATAGAAAACTTCTAGATCTGCGTTGTTTATTCATAAATAATATTATTGGGGATTTTTCGCCAAACCGCAATCCAGTCGATCCGGAGTTTGTAATATTGATAGCAACTTATGGTTTTTGAAACAAAACTTGCAATAGATCAATTTAAGTTGAAAAAATATTAGATGTGAGGAAAATTTCTTATGATGTTTTTTTAGACCAGTACATAAAATATATAAATTTTAACTCTGTACAACCAACAACGCTCTCGCGTTGTGCGTTGTTAGGGTATGTTCGCCATTGAACTATAATTAAGCAAAGTGCACACACGTGAAAACTGTGGTTCGTGTTTCTTGTTATCTTCTCGCTTTAGACTTTAGAATGTGAATAATAACTTACTTCAAAAACGTCTTCCCTCGAAGTCAGTTTGCGTCCAAATGATGAATGATAAAAAGCTCGACGGGCACGTGTCTTGCCCTAGAAAGCCTTCCTACACACGTGCAGGTCGAAGCCAGTGGTTTTCAGCTGCCTGATAAGCCTGGTTTCGGCCCTGAGGATCTAGTTCGCCAACCTGAGAACCCAAACCGACACCCAAACAAACAGAACAAAACGCCGGCTCGGCTCAACCCAGCTGCTCCACCTGTTGTTGCAAGATGGAAGGAGTCAGGAGATTTGGCTGCCGTCAGCGCCAACGCAACGCATGGAGGGATTTTTTTTTGTAAAAACCGTAAAAACTATGGACCTAATAGTTTAATTGTTTTTCGTAAAAATGAAGCCTTTGAAAATTTTCCCTAGAAAAAGTTAATTTGAAACTTTGAAAGAATAATGATTTTTAAAAATTGGTTTTTGTACTAATATTCTTGTCAAAATTATTTCACGGTATATTGACAATTTTTTTTTTATAAAAGCCTCATCTAATATAATATCAATATAAATACTCTATCTAATATCATACATAGTGTTATATATTTTTCAAAAAACATTTTGTTTTAAAGGCAAACTTTTTCATTCATAACTTAAGATAAGGCATCCCCACTCATTTTATATTGGTTCACTTTAAAAAGGGGATTGAATCATAATAAGAATAGCTTATTTTATAAAAATGAGTCATATATTACATGCTATTATTAATTCTTGGGTTCAACTACTTAAATTTTTCCTTGGAACACTTTGATGTATATTTCAAATAAGAGAATTGAGGAGTCGATGTCATACTCGGAAAAATTGAGTTGTGCCCTCCAAGTTACCACTTTTTGCAAATCCTCTCTTTCGCTCAGTGTTAGCATTCCGGCAATCTGGAAAAATTAATTTTATCTATAGAAAAGAGTTAAAATTTTGCCAATTATTTTTTATTACATCTTCAAGCTGTTCTTGGGGAGCTCCTTGTTGTTTTAAAGTCATGTACAAGCTGGTCAATCTATGCTCCTTCTGGATGGTGTGGCTGAACTTCTCAACTATGTCGTTTTGTCGCAACGATGCCGAGTACTGGGCCAGGTAGCACTTTTCCAGACACATTCTAACCAACTAGAAAATATTCTCAATTCAGTTGAAGTCTAAAAAGAAAAAAAACAAACAGCATACTTGGGTAAGGCTTACGAAGAAGTAGTAATTTGTTGTGGTTTTGCCGGCTTCCGTTGATGTTCCCAGTTTCAGCTCTTTCAACTGGAGGAAATTTTCTCCCACTAATCTGTAAGCAATTTGCTTAGCCTCTTTGGCAGGCAGCATTGCGTGATTTTGTACTTCGTCGATTCCGATAAACTGGTGCCGTCGTACAGTCCTAATTGGTCAAAAGTTGATGAAAACCCCAATCTTGAACAACAATTTTACCTGAATATTCTAGCTCCTTTGGAACCGAATTGCTCTTGGGCAATTTTTTCCAGCGCTGACCATGTCAACTCAAGAATTGCTGCTTTTAATGTTACTTGGTATTCACCACCTGCCGCATCGCCAACTCTGCTTAACAGATTACTGGAGTCCTCCTCTAAAATTAGGTGGCAAAATTAATGATTATTAAAACAAATTGATTGTTTATGAAAAAATTGAATGAAAAAGTGCGATTATTTCTTTGTTAACTCCCCATGCCAAAATTTGAAGTTAGCCGATTGAGATTTTCACAGCATAACAAACATAGCTTGGAAGCAACACCCCTAAATTTTTTTGAAAAAATCTCAGAAATTGCGGGTTTTATGGGACATTTAGAAAAAATTAACAAACCTAACTTTCTCGGGTTCTATTGATTGTAGAACAAAAATCCGGGTATGGTTGAATTTGTCTTCACAAATTCTACAATTTTGGAAATTTTTTAAAAAAATTTAGGGGTGTTGCTTCCAAGTCATGTTTGTTACGCTGTGAAAATCTCAATCGGCTAACTTCAAATTTGGGCATGGGATGTGAAAACAGAAAGAATCGAAAGAATCACACACAAATAAAATGAAATTAAAAATTACCAAGGACTTGCAAGTATTCAGAAATATGTGCTTCTAATGGAGATCCTGGATAGCTCATTTTCACTATTGAATGAATTGTTGGCTTGTGGAAAATATTCGAAACCTCCTCCATTGCATCTCCGGAATCCGACATCAGCTGCAGAAGGCAACGTACCAAGTTTCCTGCCTGATTGTCAATTCGAGCCGTCAAAGCTTCAGCAAACATTTCATCTCTATAATAAAATAAAATTAACAAAATGAGTTTTTATAATAAGTTAAGGCTATACCTCAACAGTTGAGAGACTCCCGTTCGACTGACTTGCCAAACAACAGAGGTGTCGCTGGCATCTTTTATGGACAAATTTTCACTGGTGATTTTGCTTGCCAGTAGAGGCATGTTGACTTCAGGCAGAGCTTTACTTTTTGAATAGACTGCCGTCGTGTCCGGCACAGGCCTCTTGTCTCCAGGCTCTCTTGAGGCAACTCTTTCGATCAGACCCTCTTGAACCAGCTGCTGCATTTTCTCCTTCATCTGACCAAGAACGGCATCAGCATTTTGATCTAAAATTAAAGCGTTACACAGTTTGAAGAAATTAAGTATAATGATGCGGATTTACCTGGCTGAGTTCTCAGAATTCGAACCGATGATACAAGTATGACTCCTGAGGCGCAATCACGGCCACTTTTCATCAGGGTGTCCAGCATAATCTCCCCTTCAGTCCCAAACTTTTTAATGAAGACAGGCACTCCTCTAGAGGAACAAAATACTTATTTATCTCATTTATCTTTTACATAATTATCATAATGTATTAATTTCTTCTTAAGAAAAATTATTATTGTAAAAAATGGTTAATAGTTATAGAAAAAAAATTGATAAAATGATACCTTATGTATCTCTGCAGAAATAAGATGTTATCTTTTCTGAGAAAATAAACAGGCACAGTGGATTTCACGCCTGTCTTTGCATTTTCCGGTAGTTCAAATTCGACAATACCAAAATTGATCAACCCTCTCAAGACATGCTGCACCTGTAAAATGAGGAAATGAGCAAATCTTTTCATTTCATCGAACCTTTACCTTACCTTCGTGAGCTTCAAATTCGTGTGAAAAATTATTTGTTGAAGAGTGAGATTGCCGAGACGGAACAAACACATGGCCACTTTCTCGGCCAAGTCTCCGTACGCCTCTTTCAGCATGATGGAGCAGAGTTTTGCGTGCTGGCACGTTCCTGACATGTTGTTAAAAAAACAAAGTGATACTTGGCGATTGATATTTTACTTAAAACTGCTTCCATGCGATTCAGGACATGTGAAAAAACATGTAATAACTTCACGAGCTTCAGCAAAATTTGATGTGTTTGGAAAAGCAAAAGAAGGGGGCGTGGCAAATGTGGCACCGTCGATCTGCCGCCGAACGCGTTTGGCGCGAAAGCCACGTGGGCAAATTACGTCGTAACACCGGGAGGTGGTCAACAAGTGTCAACACTAAAAAATAAAAAATTACCTAATTATCAAAATCAAGATGAAAAGTTTCAAAAGCTGTTCATTATTGTACAATAAAACTAAAATGATATTTCCGAAATTAATATTGATTGATAAATGATGCTATAATACGTTTTTTAAATAAAGCCATTTATTTTCTTTTACAAATCATATATAATATATTATCAATTATGATTTATTTTTGAAAAACAGTTAAATTTAAACGCAAAAATTTAATTTCCTTCTGTGATTGGCATTTTTCGTAAAAAAATAAAAATGCTAATTAATGCGATGAAGTGAAAGAAAAAAAAACAGACAAACGTAGGTTTTAGTATGATTATTATGTAAATGCGTGTCTATGTGATTAAAGTAGAGGAAAAGGAGAAAAACAACTACTTTAGCTTTTTTTAAGGGCCAGGCCAAGGCAAAGTCTTGTCGGCCTTTGCCCTTTATTAGTGGGCGCAGAAGGCACCAACAAGTTAAATTTTTAATTTTTTTGTATTACTTTTATTGGGTTGAACGCTTAATTAAAAATTATTTTTTGCTGGCGCATAGCCTTGTTTTGGTCCACACGCGATGATAAAAAACAAAGCTGAAAACTGAAAAAGAGAGAAAAAAATAAGGAAAGGATTTGGATAAGGAATATTACAAGAAATATTATTACATATGTAATATGTAATTATTCTCCTTAATATGGCTCATTTGGATTAGCTCGACCAACAAGAACAAGGCCAAGAACAAGGGTGAGCTTGAAGCTTGAAGCAGCTCGACTTCACCGCCTGTTGCTCCACCTGTTGTCCAGTTGTTGCAATACTTCTTGGTTGGCTGCCGTCAGTCAGCGGTCAGCGCCACCTCTGGAGGTGAACGCAAAGGAGTGAACGAGGGAAAAACAAAAGACAACAAACAACAAACAAAACAACAAATTCAAGACATAATTTTACATAATTTTGTGACTGAATCTTGAAACGGCCGAACGGTCTCGGTTTTGAGAAGGTCACTGCTTCGCGGTTATCTATCCTCACACACTGCGGCGGTGCACCTTTACTGTCCTTTACGAATTCTTCTGTCCTAGCGTCCAAAAAGCAGTACACGGGCTTCGTCGCCTCTGTCCAAAGTTGGTGGCTTTGTTTTTCCGGCCTGCATCATGTGGAAGGGTATACATATTATATGAATTATCAGTGATTTTAAACCATAGTTTGCTAGAAAATTAGGTAAAGAATATGGCACTCTATTCGGTCAAGCAGCAGAGAGGGCAATAAAATGATTTATTACAAAATTGAAATGCAAAAATTTTGGACCGATTTCTGTTATTAGGAGATCTCTACGCGCGTATTTAGATGTTAAATCTAGTATTTTAAGTTTTTTCAACGACTAAATAAAAACATAAAAAATTTAATAACAATATAAGTGACTGACTCAGGAGAAAATTTAATTTTTCAAAAAAGAGAAGTGTGAATTCTTTTCTTAGACAAAATTCTCTTTGAAGAAATATAACCAACTTTTATTGAAAGTCTCTGACACTGCTTTTCAAGATTTTAAGGTTTATTTTTTATTTTTGACGTTCTTATTATCTATTTGTAATAATTGTATTCATTTAAAAATTTAAGCGTCCATGGAGCTGGCAGATCATGACGAGGTGTTGCTTGACATAGCAATTACCGTTAGCGAAGCTGCACTAAAGCAGTCACCACAACATCCAATGACTTGGTTTGAAAACCTTAGTGACAGTGACTACAGCGACTTCGTAAAGAAGAGCAGATCAAAGTGGGTGTCGATCCAACATCAAAAAAGTGTTTCCTCAGAAAGCAGGGAACGAAACATGAAGAAGTGGCACGATAGACAAAGAGAGATTATGGACAAAATGATCAGATCAGGTGAGAAATTTAAAAAAATTTAAACTTCTTCAAATTTCCATCTAAATATTAATTCATAGTCCATATAAGTATTGAAACTATATATTTTTTAATTAACAATACTAATTTGGAGTGACAATTATTGAGATTAAATTAAAAAATTTACCTTATAACCAATACACTGGAATGAGGAGCTTGTTATTTAATCAAAATTATGTGCACTGTTATGGCATTTTTGTTTCATATTCTATAATAAGCTAAAATTAACGAAAGAATGCGTATTAAGTAAAGCAATTTCAAATTAATAACAAAAAATGAATAAATTTTTAGCCATTACCCAGCGCCACCAAAGCTTATCTGAGTCTGACGTTGAAGGCTTTGTAAGGAAGACATTTTTCGACCACCGGTACCCTGCTGAGACTGATGTAGCAAAGGAAAAACGTGCGAGAATCAAACAAACTGCAGGCATGTTGATTTCCTCTGTCATTATTTGCTTTAATTAAAATTACTTATTCTAAAAAGCACAGTTTTTGTTATAATTTAGTCTTATTTTTTTTTTTTGCAGTTTTGTTCCTCCCAAAGAACAACAAGAAAGCAGCAGAAAATCCTAAGATTTCTTACACAGGTTTGAAACTAATTTAGCAGCTCTAATATTTTCATTTTCTTATTTTAACCTTTCAGACTTGGTTGGAGAAGGAGATGAGAAGGTGGTGAAAGAGCCGGGTGAGCTCGACCGAAAACTGATGGCAAAGTATGGCCTCGAGGAAGAAGCTGAGAATGCAGGAGAAACTCGCGCAAGAAACTGCATCAATTCAGCACTGATTCACATGGCCATGTCCACGGTCAAGGACTCTGACGTAAGTGCAAACAAATTAATTTGTTGATATATATATATACTGATCGTTTAATTATCCAGACGGTAGGCGTCTTCAAAGAACTGACAGGCCAGGTCAAAGACCAAAATTTGTCAAAAATGTTTTTGCACCTGAAAAGATGTGGGGGGATACCGACTGAAGAGTCTGAGCTGTATAGAATATTAAATGTTCTGCAAAAGTAACCCAATGATTTTAAAGTATAATATCCAAATTTTAAAGTTAAAAATTGCAGGGAACAGGAAATCAAGCAAAAAGCCAAGGACGAGAGCAACAAAATCCATCAGATCTGGGTCCGCGACAATTTCGGCTTTCAATGTGTGCGCGCTATCCTCGGACGTTGCACGGAGTGTGCGGAGACAAGGATTATGCCATTCAACCTCAATTTGAACAATGAAGATTGGATAAATGTCCAGAGTGAAGAGACGGTCCTCAGGGAAGCCCACTGCAGCAAGGTGAGAAAACACCGAAGCAATAATTCTTTGACTGTTCACAAATTTGATGTTGGTCTACTGTATTTTTTATTTTTTTTTTATTTTTAATTGGTTTACTTGAAACTGTGTAAACTACCTTAATATTAATTAAAAAGATTGGAAAATACTGGACTTTATGGGAAATTTTGAAAAAGTAAATGTCGAATTAGTGAGATCTTAAAATGAAAATCCAGCAGAATGAATTCATGTTGTCCTTTCCAAAATTTTAATCTCCAGGTCAGAGATCAACTTTTTGTGAAGCAGTAACATAATTCCAATTTTGACTATTTTACCCTTGAATTGACTCATTTTCAGTGCAACAGAGAGTCTTCACATCAACTGTTGTACATCCTGAGCCACCACTTTGTCCTCATTGACCAGAGCAAGTCCAGGACAACACCTGTGCCGAAAACTTTTGAGGAAGCTCTCGACTCATTTGAAAACGAGGTTCAAATTGGAGGACGTACCTTCGAATTTTGCTCGGCCAGTAAGCATTCCTGCGGTATTTTTTTCCCTCACACTAATTCAACTACTTCAGCTGTGGGATTTAAGTCCAAGAAACCTCACCCAAGATCCCACTGTGTCTTAGTGACGAGGAAGGATAGTTCATATGAAATCACCTGTGACTGCACACATCCGGAGAAGTTCAGCGTTGCCCTAGATGATTACCGTGTTGGCATTGAGGACATGCGAGTGTTTGTGCAACTAGTGCTATACAGGAGGAAAAGGGTAAATATTATTTTGCCACCATTGTATTGCAATAAAGTAAAAAAATTAATATTTAGGTCCAAAAAGGAAAAAAAAAATAGACGACACTTTCTGCTGGGTTGCTGCAAGAAATGATCTCTTGACTGGTGAATTTGAGAAAAAGTATGTTGCTACTTTCTGTTGAAGTGCACCCATTGTTTTCTACACTGACCATTTTCCACACTGACCGAAATTTGGAACACTACTGGACAGGAAAAGACTAGTGGATTGCAGGACAGATACTATCCGTCCAGGGACAATGTGCTATTATTATATGTTTGAATTCTCATCTTGCATCACAGACAAAAATGTCTCCAACTGACGCATAAATATTGGAAAGGTCTGCTAGGACATCCCCATTGTTTTGTGCATCAAATAAGTTGACATTAAGCACAAAAAGATCAAGGCCAAGAGCATTTTGTCTTCCATCGCAAGAGATACTTTCAGGACTACGAAATAAATGCTAGGAGTAACTACAACTTTGAGAAGCCCATTTGTGGTTAGATTGTAAGCTGAATGGAGACCCCAACTTGGAGTGTCTGCTGCCCCCACAAGGTGGACTCGCTGCACCTCGCAGCAGCAGATCAAAAATGCAGAAAATTTTTAACCTGAAACAAACAAGAGTAAAAAGTGCAAGCGTTATTTGTGTAGTGTTGAAAAATCCAGTTTATGGTTAAATGACAACTCGGTGGACAACTAGACCAACTCTCGTGCAACAAGAAACTCAAAACGATCTACCTGCTGGAGCGCAACCCTGTTGCAACCGAGACTGCTTATCGGCGCAAAGATTAAGCTGACCATTCCATGGATTGTGCAGATAGACGCAAACTTGGCAGGCCAGTAGAAAGACTGAGGAAGAATGCCTTGCTTACTTTTACCAAACCCAGAACTGAATTTTACGACTGCTGAGTAGTTACTAGTTGCTACTATCACAAAATTTAATTAGAATGCTGACTGAAAATAAAAAATTAATTGGTTGGTGCCTTCTGTACCACCAATAAAGGGCACAGGCCGACAAGACTTTGTCTTGGCCTGACCCTAAAAAAAAAAAAATAAAAAAAAAAAAGTTCAACCAGTATTACATAAATTTGCTGCTTAAATTCATTAACTTCCTGATCGATTGTATCACTTGTCTTGCAATATTAATTAGTTCCTTTTCTCAGAGATCCATTATGAAAATGCTTGAATTTGGGTTATTTCCATTGCAGTCTCACATCATCACTATAAAAGCCTTTTGCGAGTTTTGAGGTATGCAAATACTGAAATATAAGTATCAGTATTATGACATGAACGAATTTTTCAGTTGTAAATTTGATTTGTAAATTGTATAAATATGTGAATGACGTATTTTGAAAGTTGTCAATTTGTTGATGATTTAATGAAATAAAAATAATTCTGAATCTGAATGACATACTCTCAGTTTGCTCGTCAATTTTACACCTACTGCTTCAATTACAAAGCTCAAGATTAAAAAATACTGCCCTAATTTTGCAGCTACATTAAAGGACGGATTACGATTTTCATTCAAACAAGAATATAATTATATAAATATTTTTACTGCTATTTGGTTGCTTTGAGTAATTCTATAACCATGCATGTATTCAGCTAATCATTTTGTGTCCTTTGGATAGTTCATTCATAACACTTAATTGGTAGAGAAATAAAAACATTTTAAAAACATAAATATAATGCATCATGAGTTCAAAGAACTTTTGATTTTTATTTGCTTGCAAAAATTTCCCTACAAATAATAAAAATATTGTTTTTTTTTTTGTTAAAATTCCTGTCAGTCATCAAAATGGTCAACGCATGCCAAGCACCTGCATGGCAAGCAGGGCCATTCAAACGTAGAGGCCACCCTCAGCCTGACGGAAGTAGGCAGCCCTGGGATCAGAATCAAACTCAGGAGTTATCTCCAGCAGTCTGGGTAGAGGGTGCAGCACCACGATCTTCCTCTTTGCCAGGCGCATCAACTGCGTTGTTACTTGATACACATTAAGAGCCTTTTCGTACTGCTCTTTTGATGTGAATCGCTCCCTCTGAATGCGTGTCATGTACAGCACATCACTGTCTGGCAACACGCTCTCTAGGTCCAAATGACTCTCCTGAAATCCAAGATTAAATAAAATAAACAATTTCAAAATCTCCAGTTCAGTCTTGCCTGTTTTATCCCAGCAGAGCCAACAACATTCTGAACGTCTATTGGCATTTCCAGGCCTGGTGGAGCAACATACCGTAATGTCACATTGTAGAGAGTCAACAACCTTGAATTTGAGAATTTTTATATAGTCATATATTATTTTAGAGATCGAGTACACAACTCACTTTGCCAGAGAGTGGACGGTGCGGCCGTGTTTCAGGGCCCCCACCAGAGTGATGGTAAGACCGTAAGACCAATGACAGTGCCTATCTCCTCACGAATGGCAAAAATGTCGAGCAAAGCTTGTGTTGGATGTTCTCCTGTTCCCTCGCCTGCATTTATCACTGGCTTACGACAACGAGCAGCGGCCGCCTGAGAATAAGAAATATATTCTTGAAATTATAATTGACAATTTGGAAAATACATACACCAACTGCTCCAGGTTTGGGATGTCGAAGGACGATAATATCAGAGTAGCCGGACATGACCTGAACCGAATCTAATAAAATAATTTTTTGATCTTAAAGCAACTCATTCCTTGGAATAAATTCAAGTTACCCTCAAGTGATTCTCCTTTCTGAGCTGACGAACTGGCTTCATCGATGTGGATCACAGAGCCACCAAGGCGCCACATAGCCGCAGCAAAACTGCATGAGGTGCGTGTGCTCACTTCGAAAAAGGCGCTTGCCAACACCTTACCCTGAAATTAAAATTTAGAAAAATTACTCACAAATGGAACAAAGTTAAAATTGAAGAGTAAATCCCTACCTTCAGAATGTGATCAAGACCACGTTCTTTCTGCACTGCATGTCGGAATGTCTGAGCAACATCAAAAATTCGGTTCAGTTGGTCCTTGGAAAAGATTCTGGAGCTCAAAATGTGCTGGCCTTGAAGGGGATGTGGCGCAGGAACTGCAGGCAGCACGTCGTCATCAACCTGCTTTATGTCTAATTCCTCCATCATTCGGGCGTGAATGTCTAAAAATAAAAATTAAATTATTTATTTAAAGCAAAAATAAGCAACTGATATATATTTCATAAAACTAGGTATTATATTATAATGCTATGTTGTAAAATTATTAATAAATAGATTGTTACCCTTTTTGGGCCTGCCTTGATCAGGTAAAGGTGAGACAGGTCTTTTGTCAATGACAATTGTCGGCACCACAGGCGATGGCGCCAAGGAAGGCAATGCCTGAGGCACTTGGGGCCTTGACCACTTTCTCACATCCTGCCCATACCCGGTGTTGACAAGCACATTGCCCTCTAAAAAGGCAAGCTCGCCACGCAGCACCACTCTGTGAACAGCTCGTCCCTTCAGCTTGCGTCCAGCAAAAGATTTTTCTAATAACGGGTTAAAAAGACAAACCTCAGAGCATACTTCAAAGTTGTCCAATTACAGGGTGGGGAAAGTTTCATTCATGTACATCTTCAGGCCAAGTTAGACCGAGTTAGCCAAGTTGCAAATGGATTCAAAGTTATTTACAGAGGCACCAGCAAACAAAGCATAGTCTTATGGGCCGCTAACTGAAAATTTTAAACAACCATGTTTGAATTTCAATTTGTATAAATATAAAATTTACATTTTTAAATATTATTGCATTTTAAATATAGCAAATGATTAAACTATAAATTAAATACCTCGGCAACAAAATTAAGAGTAGCAAGGTCAGTGACTGCAGGGTTTGTATTGGGCATGGCACAGACAAGTGTGATGCCGCCAGCCAGAGCTGCGCAAGTGCCTGAATCAAAGTCCTCCTTGTGGACAGCGCCTGGTTCTCGCAGATGCACATGGACATCGATGAGACCAGGGAGTCGTACGAGCTGATGACTTGAGAGACAGTCAGAGTGGGGCTTCATTTGTGGCGCCCCTCCAATCAGCATGAGTGCGTCAATCAACAATTTGACGCACTTGACGTTCGTTATCAGTAGAATGGCGTAGTCGACAGCCATACGGCGCGTGCGGTAGCCCTGGGTTACCAGACTGGACACTCGACGAGCACCGCCGTCTCGCTTTGGGAGGTTTATGACGAGGTCAAATATGTGGTTGGCCAAATTTAATAGTCCGCCATCTGGTCCAACTGGCATCGTGTAGCATTTTCACCAATGACCTCAATCTGCAAGTGTTTGCATAAGAAGATTGAATTTAAAGTTAAATCTATCAATAAATTTTGTAAAACAATAAGAGTTTAAAACAAAAATTAAGTTACAAAATATATCACAAACCAGTTCATGGCACACAAAAGTGACGCAAAAAATCAAAAGTATCTTATAATAGAAAGCAAACCTGAAGTGATAGGTAGCTTAGAGTTGACAATGCCCTCATTGGAGTTGTTCTCGTTTTGTATCAAGGGAGGCAACCAGTTTTCTGGCATGCCCGCGGTCGACGCTGTGATTCTGGGTAAAATAGTCACGAAGCTGCAGCAATTAACCAGTGGGAGTGGAGATGTTCACACAAGGCTAGTTCGCTGTTACCATACCTGACATAAAAAAGATTTGAATATAAATTTTAAAATGGATTTCCATTATACAGATTTAAAAAATAAAATAGATCAATGAAATCAACCAACCTCATTTGATATGTAGAGCAACTGGCAGTAACTAAAGTAAAATAAATATCAAAGTTAGATTAACCTCATGCTCAGGTCTACCTGAAAGTTGTGTTTAAAGTTAAAAAAGATTTTTATTTTTTAGGAAATTCTGAATTTTCGGTGCCGAAATAATCTTCCACACGTTTCGAAATTCAAAGCAAAAATTTAAGCTATCGCAAATAACTGAAAAAAAAATCCACAAAGGTCCCATTTGTATATAACCAACTGCCAGTTGCTATTCAGATTGAGCCGCGGTATGATCGGTTTGTGAAATTGTTAAAGGATTATGTGTCGTCTGTACATAAATTGTAATCCAAACTAGAGTTTCACGATTTTACTTAAAGATTAGCAAATATGTTTCTTACTTTTGCTCTTTACTATCTTTCAATTAACCCAGTTGTAAAAGTGGAATACGATGAAGACATTATATAATGTAATGTCACAACAAAAGAAAAGGGAGAAAAGGTATAATAAATTATAAAATTAAATTTTTTTAACACAACATGCAAGTAGGCCTGAGAAGTTTTGTTGAAAAGAAATTAATTTTTGAGGGTTTAAGAACATTCGGATTTTTTGGTGCCGAAATAAATTTCTCCATATTTGAAAATTTGAAGTAAAAATTTTAACTATTCAAAATTATTAAGATTGGGGTGGTTTTATTTAAAACGGTTCTGTTCAAACTACAAGCAAATACCAGGCACCAAGAAGTTTCTGCTGATTTCCGCTTTCGAACTATGTGCCACACATCCTGAAAAAATAATTTAAAGGTCACAGGTCACCGGGGTCAATGACCTTTTTTGACCTGGGCACCTCGTGTGACGCATGGTTGGTAAGATAAAGGCATGGGGATCATTTTTTGTCATCGAGTGTTTTGTCCTAACTCTAACAGAAAAAAAGTTATCGAAGATGGAAGTTAATTTCCTATAAGAAAAGCTCAAAAAACCACGTTTTTTTGTCTTTGACTGTAAATATCTCGAAAACGAAAAAAATAAGTCTCGCCATTTTTTAATATGTTGTTAGCAACTAAATAAGGTAACTTTTGGCTATTTTCAAATTAAAAAATATCACGTACCAGGTACTTTGGCAGGAAAATAAAACACTCAGGTTCCAAAAGATGACCTTGAACTTTGACCTACGACCTTGGTCACTATTGCAAAGTTGTAGGGCGTCTAAATTTCAACAATTTTGGTAATAAGAACATATGCGCTATCATGAACAGGAGCTGAGATATTCTCGATTTTCTAAATCCCTTTTTAAAAAATTGCCAAACTTTGAGCCCCTGTAAAATAGGCAATTTTGAGAATTTTCAAAAACCCTTCTAAACTATTTGTCCACACTCTGAAAACAACCAACCTGCCTATTATTATAAAAATCGGTTGACCTCGTGCCAAGAGTGGGTCAGAATAAAAAAAATCTTTTAAAAGATTTTAATTTTGGGAAATTTTCGCCCTCAATTAAAATTGTTTATTATCACAAAAGGAATTTTTCTAACTTTTTTACACCGGCTTTGTCTCACATATCTCGTTGTCTCGGAACGTAATTCCACGTCAAGGCGATTAGTCGCAGTACTAATTGAATTATTTCCGTTTCGAGTGGTTTCTTTGGGTTTTAAATCCTCAAAAAATATTCAAAAATACCTGAGTCAGGAAGCAAAGGTAAATTTAGATTAACCTCAT